ATTCAGAGAAATTTATGTTATTTCAGTTGTTTTCATGAGGTTTATCGTTAGTAGCCCCTCACAAGCCAGAATCTTGTTCAGAAAGACCAATTAAAATTCTTCATTAATTTAGAAAAAGCGGAACTTAACCAAACGTGCTTGTATGATATCTTTTTACTATGTGATTTATATGTTGCAGTTGTATGGGTAAAAAAATAAAATTACGTTTATTAGCAAGTTCATGCGTGGCTATTTATACATTAACAATTAATTGTGGAAATTTCTCTGCTTGATTTAAAGAACCTCGAGCCTCTCATTAGCCTACTGCTGCAAGCAGACCAGACATTGTCATTGAATTGTCATTAATACAGATTTTGAATTTATTAAAGATGTGGATAGCAGCTTACAAGAGCTGAAGTATACAGAATTATTTACAGTACCCAAAAAAGTACCCAATATACAAATACATAGTAAAAATGGAAATTTACGACAGTAATAGGAAACTAATAATAGAAAACTATTTAGAAAAATTCTAAAAACTACTTTAATGAGTCATTATAAGCTACGATACTTGAAGGTAAAAAAGAGTCTATAAAACGACTAGTTTTACAGTCAATTAGGTTGACATGGTATCATTACGAAGAGGATGTTTAACTTTATCTGGAACGAGAGCGTGCAACTTATGTTCAGGATGAAGACGCTTTTTGAAATATAACATACATATATCATTTCTTCTTTGGCTAAGTAATTAAATTACTTTATACTCTAAAGCTTCGTGAATCGTGGTATGACAAATCTGGAAATATTAGTCTTAAGGCACGTTTTTGGATTCTTTCTATCTCCTCTTTTAAGTAATCTGGGACGCCAAAGTTCCACACCTGACACGAGTATTGAAGAACGGGTCATGCATGTAAAAAACACTTGAATTAAGGAGGAATCACTCACTCCGTTTCGTTTAAGTACGCGGAGAAATTAAAGTCTCTTTGATGCCTTGGCCACGATATATTCAATATGTAAAATTCCAATGCTGATGACAGGAGAAGACGAAGGACTTTTGCCGATGGAACCCGGGATATACAATGTTCTCCAATCAACAGCGGCGGGAGATCCGGGGTATCTTTAGCAAACGAAATTATCAACTCTTTACATTTGTTACGATTAAGTACCATGTCGTTCTCAATACACCATTTCTGTATATCATCAATGACCTAGCCTGGGTACGAAACGACCAAGCCGAGGTACGAAACGGCAAGAGTATGAAATGACGAGAGTACGAAAAGACATAAATCATGCATGATGCACGCATATCTCTGCGATCAGGAAAGACTGTTTTGCACACCTGACACAGGAAAAAAGATATTGTCAACGATTGTCAGAATTTTTATACTAGGTGTGGTCAATAATCGCGGCGATTAAAAAATGATGTTGCGACGAACCTTGGAAAAATAAAGAATATGGATTTTATAAAAATATTTTCCCTCGTGAAAACAGAAAATATCGGTATCTTTATTGTCATGATCATCATTTTCTGAAAATTTTGTGTATCATTAGATTAAACAACAACATGGTTATACTTTATAAACGGTGGACATATATTGACTGGTTCATAATTGACAATTAGTACTATTAGTGTTATTAGTATTGGTATTATATTGTAGTACTATTGGTACATAAATGACTATTAGTATTATTATAAATGATTGGTCGTATAATTTTAATAAAAGTATCACGATGTATAGTACTTGATGACTCTGGTGTGTGCCTGAATAGTGGGTAGAGCTAGACATGTCAGCATCGTATGATGCAAAATAGAAACTAACAAGGGCATGGAACTCCAGTTATTTCCCGTATATAGTATATCGCTCTTGATTTCCATTAGACGTTTTTTATCTTAGTCCGATTTCACAATGTCCGGCCGCCTATCTAGGGCCTCAAGTTTCGTCTTGAGTGGGATCCAATGAAGCGCTTCCCGGCGATGACATTTCTCTGTAAATTACAATTCAAGTGCGCTATTTATACGATGTTTGTATACATTATGGAGTACGAGGTGGAGTGTACTGATATATTCCGCTTGACATTTTTAATTGAACTGCTTTAGGACCCTTATATAGTATAAAATGTAATGCATATTAAACCAATTTTAAGCCTGATTAGTTTAATCGTAATATCTGCTATGTCCATTGACGGTAGTCATGAATTTTTTCTTCTTCATTAATCGCAGACATTAGGCCTAAGTGTTAGGCCTTGTCCACACCAATCCAATCAAGCCATACAAGATCAAAGATTCCCTAGAATTAGAATTATTTCTCCTACCATGTAGACAATGCATTTGAGACAAAAAAGTGTGAATTAAGCCTAAAGCCTGATCCTCATATATCGCAATCATCAACTGCTTTGTTATTTTGGATTAATTTTCTTCCACATCGTTCATTGAAAATATATCGCCGAACATCTGATAATACATCGCCGACTATCTGAGGCTATATAGTTCATGAGAATATAAATATTAACGGCATGCAATAATCGGTGAGGGCAAGTGTAGAAGATCAATGAAAATGAGATACTTTGTTATTTGGAATAACCGATTACCCATCTTATTAGAACTAAGCCCTATTATAGAACTATAGGCTTTATGCTTGGTTTTCATCCCATTTCATATCCATCTTATTAGGAATAACTGACTATATACCGAAATTAAACACCGTTGGCAGGAAAATTCATCGCCGACTGTCGGCGCCCTATTATAGAACTAGGCTTTATGCTTGGTTTTCATAAGTCACCGTCAGTCAGCGAGGGCCACTGTCGGTAATCACTGAGGAGGGAATACTTCGAAATCATCAGTATGCTATGAGAACCAACCGTTCAATTGCATTGTCGGTGGTCGGTGACAACAATTTTCTTTAAAATAAATAGAGCTTGCTTTTAGATTGTTCATCGACATGCATGCATGCAGTCTTGAGCCAGGTTCTCAATCATTGGTTACCGCCCCTGGGCGATACCTATTGTATACTGGAGCACGAAAGTACCCCAAAACGTCATCGTGAGAAAGGCTATATATAATTCAGCCTTCTTGCATGGCAAGTCACAGGCATATATATGTCAACCTGCATGCGCATGGCAGCATGTTTATTTTAAACTATAATTTTCCATGAGGACGAGCTTCAAAAACTGTTTTACTGCCTGGGTTGCGTGCAATAAGAAATCAAATTTTCTTTGAAGTAGTATAATTATTCCGATGATTTTTCTTCCATGTTACCTTAACGTGTGCAAAGTCGTTAGGCGATGAAGACGTGAAGCAGCGTTTTGAACCCGTCGTCGGTTGTCTCATCGGCGATATGATTTAAACCTGATTTTCGTGATCGTTTTAAATTGCTTGCGAAGTACATCGGTTGAGTGTGCACAGTGGATAATTTTGCCAAAATCGTGCAGATTTCAAACATTCGATGTGTATACCAGAACAAGGGGTTATATTATGATGGCCCTCAAGGAGACCTTTAATGAAGAAGGAAAATCTTTCTTATAGACAAATTATATAAGCATTTTTATGCATGCCTACCATCAGTGCTGATGAATTTTCATCTCACCGATAGTGAAAAATTCTGCCGGCAATTGCATGGTCCCAGGGTATGTATCCTGATTTCCTCTTATATGAGTTGTTAATATGATCCGAGCATCATCGAGAAAAAGTCTCAGTTAAACACACGTTAATCACAAGTCGACAAATACGCTTTAAGGGACCTCAGACGACTTTAGAGTATTTGGAATGTGCGCGGCTCTTGGTACGAGATTTCTCATGCATTTTCCGGTTTCGATTAAGCCTTTTTCTACTTCCGACCTTTCGTTCAATTGCTTTTCAAAGAGAGTGAGACACAGCTTTCGCTCGATTTTCTTTTAAATTATAGCGATCGGTCAAGTGAATTAACCTCGTCCTCGGTCAACTTCTCAAAATTTCAAAGAATATTGCAACCACTGGTAAAAAACTGGCTTACCGGAGTGGAATGCAGCTTTAAGTTTTTCCCAATCCTAAAATACTGCTTACCTGAAAAGGATCATCCGTATCACAATTATCGCTATGTAAAATATTCGAGTTCATGCCAATGCATGGTAACCTATAGCTCGCTTCAAGTCGTTTTGCTGGTTTTGTGCGTAAATAGACTATGAAGATGATCATCATCCTACGAAGTGCTCTCCACTCACCCACTATAGGTCCCATGTTATCTCCATAATTATAATCATCTCTTTTAAACTTTAAATAAAAAAACACTTAGAGCAAGTCAATTGCTAATTGACGCAATTTTAGCGCTTTATTTCAAATAAGGGTCTTCAAAAGAAATTTAAGTTAACATGGAATTTTCTATAAATATTGAACATAATTAGCCACTCAATATTTACGAGATAAACCCGTCTCTTATCCAGGATATCTCAAATTAAAAGCTTATCACATGCGTGGTATGTCCGCCTTTAGTTCCGGACGTCCCATAGCACAAGGTTTAGAGCGCTCAACATAAGAATAGTTTAGCCTTTTGAGGTTAGACGCGTCTAAAATTATTTTTGTCGTCGAAAAGCGACTATTAAGTGATGTATAGAGTGAGGAAATTCGAAAATCACTCACGTGGGAAACTACTCAGGTTAACACCCTGCAGTCTGTAGTCTCAGTACACTTGTCAACTTGGTTTAAGTCTAATCTGAAAGACTGTAAAATATTTCCGGAATAGCACTGTGAGACTATAAAAAGATGAATACCTGATACGCGGTGTAAGCAGCCGATTGTATTGCATAATTATATTTTTTACATTTCCTATACTTTCAAACACGCCGAGTAACTTGGTGAATGCATGTGGTATCTTAGAGCAACCATACTACCAGTCTGCAGGAGAGCTTGAAATTTCTTCATAGACTGTCGGTGGTCGCGCGCGCCAAGTTGTGTTAACACTAAAATGCTCTGTCAAAACTGTCAACGACACTTTCAAGTATTCGCATACTTCGCGCGTATAATATTTCAAAGTTGTTCTGCAATTACATTTCCCTATCAAGGCGGAGCGAGCACAACGCTAAGTATTCTGTAATAGACTGCAAAATGTCGGTCAAAAAACATGCGCCAAAGCTCGAGGAATAAACACGGACAATGTCGACGCCATGCGGGATTCAGGTAGGCACTGGACTAATTGTATGTGTTCTGCAACCTGTCTTACAACTCTCGTTGTCTGTTCAGCCGAATATGATATCAAAATAACTTGCTAATTACCGTGCTAAATGGAACTTTTCACGGCATTTCAATAAGAAGACCCCTGCTAATATTGTTTTTAGATGAATTCGGCAACGTAAGTGCGTGAAGTTCACCGTTTGTACATTCGTTCCAGTACTTACAAGACGAAAGTAAATTTAAGCATTTCTGTTTTCTTTTGTGCTAGCTCCAGTTTCCTTAATTGCTACCTTAAAGAGCCTCGCCAGGGGTGTTTTTAGCATTTAAATTTGTGCATGTAACAGAATGCAAACTGTGGATTGCGAGTCTACAACCGCGTAATAACAATGCACTACATACATGCACGTAGTTTACCATGCAAGCAATTAAGTTGCCCTCATACAGGAAAAGTCTCTTTTTGTAAACCGAGTAATAAATGTCTCAATTAATTAAAATAAAAAAAACAACTACGTGTAGATTTAATTTAACACATTTCAACAAAGGTTAAACGCCCAGCATCCATTTCAGGGCATATTGTAATTTTCCATGATCGAGACGCATCGTTTTGTCTCCGGTATACCATATTTGGCACCGTTATCCAGTTTGAGACTTTATTTTCTAAGTGTTTGGTGAATAGGAAAAGGCACAATTCGTATGCACAGTGTGTACCTTTGTGGGCGCAACATGTTATCCATGCATTAGTTTACTCGAAATTATTGAAAACACAACGGTGATTGTGTATTTGAATGTTTTCATAACAATCACAAACGTTTATATATAAAATGTCCCATCCATTGTCAAACATTGCAGGATGCCGGATGCGCATTTAAAACACGCTTCATATGTACTTTCACAGAACAAATGTGCAGTCGTTGTTTGTGTTCAGCCATGTTTAATGATAGAGATGTTACGTAGTTGGTCAAATAAGATCCCATATTTTCCGCATGTTTCCCCCCCTGCCTCGATTGTATGATTTCTCGACGACCCACAACATAGTTTACCGCGTCTATATATCTACACATGTGTTTCGACGGAAAGAGTGTTGGCAATCACTTCGTACTGAAGTTGCAACAAAGTTTCCTAGTGCGCTGATTACTAGTGTATATAGGGATAGATTATGACATCTATATGTCAGTTTATACTGTATTTGTCGCAGCCATGCATTAATGCGTCTCTTTCATGGGATTTCACTTGCCTTATGGACCCCTATAAGAAAATCCTAAGAAAACCAATAATTTTCATTTATATCCATTTACATACATGATCGCATGCATCATACATGAATTTAATTTGATGAAATCACACAAACTAATTAAGAAATAAAAACCTGCACAAGACATCTTTATACTGGCTTGTGTGCTAACAATTATGTATATAAGGCACATTAAAATACTTTATGGATAATATTTTACTGAGCCACACATTCTTCCATCTATTCCCTCGATGCATTTATACTTCAGTAAAGCAATCAAAAATCAAATTCACATGAACATGCAACGCGACAACATTACGACTAACGCGACAACATTACGATTAATCATACACTATGATCCTTTCGAAGTGATCAACAAACAGTCCAGGGTGAAAAATGGCCTGACATTCCCTGCAACTTTTGTACACCTCTTGCTCCTTTGATTTTGTGAGGGCATACAATTTAATTCTATAATTGATTGATGAATGTTAACCCAATTAAATAACAAAATTGACTAAAAGGACCGCGAAAGTAATGTCCCATTCCAAGATTAAGTAGAGATAAGAGGGACTTATTAAATTGAGTTTTGCACTCAAGGAGCATCATGGGTAAATTAGGCATTTAAATGTCAGGCCCTCCCGGATGCATGTTATAAACGTGAAACTATAATCCCAATGTCAATAACAGTGATAATGTTTTCCAAGTAGGTGTACCTCGAAAAGATTCGTTCGTATTATTGTAGGCGGTTCGTTTCTCTGCGTTCAGTTGGTTATGAAGCGGTTGCTGTGTTATAAAGATACCATGTCAATATTTCTAAAGGCTGCGTTTAGTTATACGAACTAATAATACTAGTTCGGCATTTCCAAATTCCAACATAGCAAAGGCTCTTCGACTGAAAAGAAGGTTGGCCTTCACTTCCTCATGACTTCAAAGTCCCCCTTATAATTTTTTTCCTATCTAAACACACTTTGCGGTCTTCATGCAAATGTCTATACCTATATACACTGTCACCCCCACGCATGTTCGTAATATTATATCTGGCAACAGTGATCTTGCCGACACGAAAATCAAAAATCCTTCCGCTTTGCCTTCACTATGCCTGGTGCATGTCAACGGACCTATGAGGTGATAAACTGCCTGAAACAATACAAAGACAATCCAAGAGGTGCCTCAAACCTGGAATAAGCGGAATTCGAATAAAAATCTGTTCACCAGGTCGACAAAAAGATCGATCATTTTTTCAGTAAAAAATCATATATCAGTCTTGATCAAAGCTCACACACATTACTCAAACATACGGACGTCGAAAAAATTCCAAAGAAAGGAAGATGAAACCACCGGACAGTGCTGCACTTGAACTGATTTAAATAATAATAGCTCTCAGTCTCATTCATAACATTTCTTTAGAGGTAACGTCAATATTTACGAGGTCCCGCATCAACAGACAAGGGAAATGGAAAAGGACCAAAGTCAGTGTCCAGAATTTGGCTTTCGGTTAAATCATCACGAACAAAATACCAAAATGAAGTCAAAACAAAATTTTAACGAAGTGAATGGTTTTCCGAAAAAAACCGAACGACGACGCACAGAGACGATGAACTTGGCCTTTGCTACTCTACGCGAGCACATCCCAAACGTACCGACCGACACAAAACTCTCGAAGATAAAAACATTACGGCTGGCAATTAGTTATATTCGCTATTTGAGGGAGGTTCTTGATGGAGAGGACCCTGGTGAATATGTTGTCGATCTGAAACGAGATCGAAACATCGCCATGGGCATTGCCGATCAGTATGACTATGAAGAAAAACAAAAGAAGGAGGTGGTAAGTTTAACAGTTAGATTCATCAGCACAGGTAACGCGAGTTGGAAATTCGTACACATAAGGCCGATTTACACGGTCAATTTTACGACTCAGTTGGAATTTTGCTGCGGCAGATTGTGCAACAATTGTGAGGATAAATAACTTAATGTTAACTCAGTCTACTCACCATCGGTAACGTAGAAATTAGCCATGCAAATTAGTAGTGCTCACAAACATTTTGACAGTGTGCTGTGTGCCTTATAGTCAAATACCTACGACGATACCATTGATACTGTTAGGTCGATATTGCTCTAGTCATCTTGAAATGATTTCTTATATCTATAACTCAACGAAATGTATTCGTTTTTAAAAAGCGATTGTGAGCTGGGTAAGAAATACTGTTGATAATTTCCTGACTGAACAGTAAACTAAATTTATAAACTTAGACTCAAACGTCTGTCGGTCTCAAAAATTTGGTCTTTTCCTCGTCAAACTACGTATGCGATAACGTCCGGTTATGACACAAGGCTGGATCGCACTGTTAATAATTAGAATTGAATTTGACTTCATCATCCAATATGCAAGCTCCCTTATTTTAAGTTTACAGTTCTACGTCGTCTTCGAAGAGCCTTTCCTCGAAACATTGTCTATACCTTATATTTTTCTTAGGTGGTCTATCTGGCCACCCTATATACTCTTTATTCAGACTACCTAAACTTGGGCCTCAATATACCTTCAATATATATATGAGAGAGTATGTTAATAGATTTTACTATTGGGCTGTCACCATACGGTATCTCGAACATGCAGCCAGTTGGAGCATGAGAGCTGGTTTCTTTAAAATAGTTAGCATTAAAAAAAATAAGCCAAAAGTTTATAAACATTACTACGAAAATCATTTAAACCCTCACAACAAGAAATTGCAGAAAATGCGAGAAAATCTCTATCGGAAATTTCTCCTGCACCTATGCAAATATTGCATGGATGAACCACTAAACTATTGGCAGCAATAAAATAGAACTTTAAAATAGAGATATAGTGAACCTACAAGCTAGGGCCTGCTCATATGATCCCAATGGCGGGCATTAAACTGTCGTCTTGCTAGTTGCTACTTTGGTGTATTGAAAGAAGTTACGATAAAAAATATTGTAAGACTGCCTGTACATGTTTACATCCGATTTTAAATTTTTTTTTCAATAATAGCTATATAGTTTCAGTAACATAGTCTTCAAATCTGATGAGCAATATCCTAGATTCTGATTACATCCCATATTTCTTTGGTGATCAATTTCCTAATATGTTCTGGCTTATATAAAATGCAAAAAATATTTCCCCGGTTTAAAACTATTCTTGCAAGAGGGATCATATAAGCCCATGCAAGCCGACAGGGTGTTTAATGCACATCGGGCTATTTCTTAGTGCACTGGCTATAATTCTCGAGCATTCCCACGAGAATGCGAACATTCTCTCACAGCAATCGGTCAATGATAGGAACTAATGCTCCGGAAACAGCGCTAGAGTGTTTATTCAGGCTAATTGTTTTCATTGACAACTTGTTATATGAGATAAAACTCCTCGTTTTCGCTAGCACATTGAATTTTAAACATTTTTAGCTAATCGTACGCCATCTTCTGGACAAGATCGAGTTACTATTTTGTCCATGGCTTTCTTTATATGTTATTATATATGCATGTGTATATGTTGACGTTACCGAATTCGTTAAAGTTGCTCTAGCTCATAGGTATCATCCGTATCAAACCATATCAAACACATGAACACTCAATGGACAAACAGTTTATGCTGTGACAGGTAACTCTACCATGACGAAGGGCATTTAATTAGAACATCACGACTGCGAAGTTTCGGCCACAATCGCTTACAACGAGCTTCCTAGTTTCAGTAGTTTGACTGAAAAAGTTTAGGACATGGTGTCATGCATGGTCTATTGTTGCCATTTACGAAGAGTCTACAGCGCAGTCTAAGATTGTTTTGAGGGACAGGGAATATGATGGCAGGCGCCAAATTTTATGATAACAACAAGTATGTTTCAAGTACCGACAACCGACTATCAGCATAAGCCTTCTACGCAATAAAATATCGAATTCCTGCATTTCACATTAAACATTCAGGTTAAATGTATATTGCCCTCGGTGGTATGCATAATTCCGTTAGATTTGGGCTGAGTGTTAAATACACCGCTTTTTCAATCAAGTTTATACTTTCAAAGGATTCCCTTAAACTTTGAGCGCGCAAGGGATAATGGGTCATTGGTTATTTAGACTCGTCAACGATATTTCGCTTCGTAAAAATACATCATTATAAAAAAGCTCTATTAAAAATGTCCTTTCAAAACTTTAAGCGGCTTAAACCACAGCAAACTTAAAGCGCGGAAAGGCTGCTATAAACTGCCTTTGGAACTAATGTTTCTTCTTGTGGATCATTACTATCAGTCTTTAGGTCAAACGCGGGAAGCCAGATGTTACGCGAAGTTTGGTTTCTCTTTATAGTTTTGTTGAGGCAATCAAACTTCATGTGACGTCAAGATTTCAGCTTGATTCAATTTAAATCCAATTTACTGATGCGGGGATGTCTAAAGAGGTTTTATACGGTTTCAGTTGTTCGGTTGGAAACAACATCTTATGGCCGCCATAATTAATTATTCTCACTGTATTTAAAACGTTCCATGACTAACATTACGAAATATTAAAACTGTATTTCATAAGATACATAGGAATTTCCGGGCTTTATAATCCGTTATGTAATGGCCAATAGAAATTGTGTTCCCCGAAAATAATATTTCTCTCCACCGCAAACAATTTGGTCAGTTTGAGATAGTTCAAAAGGTATTTTCTAATTTTTTCAGGAATATAAATTACTTCCAAAGCGAAAACGTGGAAGGACAGGTTGGCCACAGAAGGTCTGGGCTTTGGAATTAAAGAACGAATAAAGAAATATGTATAAATGTACTATATGGATTAATGGATAGTGGATCTCGCTGACTAAAAATTAAAATATTCAAAGATGGTTGCCGGTATCAAATTGGTGAACATGGAGTTATAAGGAAACTGGTGCATGCTGCCTGCTCTTGAACATAGGTTCACACAAAGTACTGTAGAACTAACTTTAAGGTAGAAAGACAGGGTGCAGTATGTGAATTCGTTTACATGTTCACATACGGTGCATATGCCAGTATAAATGTCTGTGTTATGGCGTATTTGTTCGTTTATTTACGCTTCTGTCGGATTGGTTAATGGCCAACCCGGAGCATGCCTGGTGCGCAAACTGTGTCACAGAGCAGACCTTTTACAAAGGTCTATATTACAAAGGTCTATACAAAGGTCTATACACCTTCATCCAATGCACGATTATACACGTCTGTAACTCGGGCCATTTAGATTTTAGATTTATAGATTTTTTCTTGATAATTTTTCTGCAACTAATCGTAATATATTCAACGTAACATCCTAGACAACATGAAACAATCCACTCCTTACCTGTCACAGATTACTCAGCAAATAAATTACGCGCGGCTACAGCATTGGCATGTGACTAAAAATTAATATTCGTCTATTTAAATATGCTAATTATGTAAATGTGGTATTCTCTGTAATATTTCCAACTAATTACTTACATCAGTAGCAATTTTCAATATTATTAATACAGAACCTATCCGATTGACAAATTAATTTGGTCTTCTTCGTTAAAATGCGCTGATATTTATCTAGGCGACAGGGTCGTTTACAGGAATTTATGCCAGGAAGGACATGGTCAATGGAGCACTAATATATTTAGTAAAAGGTAGATTACAAGTTTAGTTTTCCCTGGGAAGTGGGGGGGGAGAACTGCCCAATAGTTTATTAGATAATTATGATTTTAGAAAATCATCAATTTTGAAAGTGAATAAACAACTGAGTAATTGTTGGCATTATTATGGAACACTATTGGTGACCAGATGTAGTAATTTTAATTACTTTTGGTAATTTTTGGTAATTTTTCGGATGATTGTAGTACAGTAATTGAAAATTTGTAGTAATTACTGCAGTAATTTTTCTTAAAATTACAGAAAGCTTTATTGTTTTTCAAGCAATCTTACAAGGTTGAAAAAATCCCTATCAGGTGGATTATTGTGGATAGGCCTATATATCCAGTCTTCATACAAGCGGCCCCTGTTTGTCTTGTGTCCTAGGTCATTTCACAGAAAAACAATAATTTGTACCCAATTCTGTTAGGGTAAAGTAGGGATATTTTGGAATAAAGATTTGAAATTACCAATGATAATGTGGGATAAATGTGTGCATAGTAATTTTTTGCCTCATGTAGTAATTTCTGTCACCTAATTTGGTAATTGTCCTTCAGAATGTTCAGAATTTGGAAAAGCTGGTCACACTGCCAATGATATAGTTTTTAAAATATTTGTATGTGAATGTCAGTTCTCAGTCAGTTTTCGTGTGTTTTATTTTTAATAGATTTATTTTTCAATCAGTTGATATAAATAATGTTTTACAATTTAATTTAATGTCACAACTAATCTACTTCATGTAATATACTATGAAATGAACTGTGCCTTTCCTATATTTTGGCGCTAGTAAACTATTATTAGTTCCTGAAACAGTGTGTAATTATTGATTCGGGACTAACGTTTCTTAAGTTTTTTGAATGATGAGGGTATCTCCGGAGAAGGATTCGAATGAGGCTTCGTCGAGCAGTAAGACATACATTAGGCACAGAGTGCAAAGCTATGTTGAGGGAGTTGACACAAGTCGTGAAAATTACGAAACATATATACCAGCCGAGGATCAGGCGGATTTTGTAGATAAGGAGACTGTTGAAGTCGTCGAGGAGGTCATCGAGGTTTCCAGCATTACACGCGGTTTAATTGCCGAAACAGTTTTGGGTAGGTAGGAAGGTTTTATTATATTAGATAGGCATGCAGTCACTCACGGTCACGCCCACTCTATTTGTTGCAAAATTATCTACATCCACGTTGTGGTCATGAAAGTAAGCCCTGCTCTTCTGTCAATTTTCAAAGGAACTACAAAATGTCCCCAAGAGCCAAAAACATGCAGTTTACCAAACCACCAGGAATGTTGGGAAAATTTTGACATGGGTGCTTGACTGTATAGGTATTTGCCCTCCTAGAGGATTTGCCCTCCTATCACAGGATACAGGAAACCTTTTTGGTATAATTGTTCATCAATTGGGTTACAAAGCATGCATGCAAATCTTTTCACAACTCTTTCCCCAGAAAAAAAATCAGACTAAATACCACCTAAATATAACCCACATCTATATGACCATCATTAGTTAAGGGTTATCTTCAAATTTTTCTTTATAATTATACTTAGGTTACATATGGTGGTCTCTTATACATGCTGTGGGAGCAATGATATGGTTCTATCCACTCAATGAACTTGAGATATCAGGATATGAGGCTTTTGCAGTTGTTCTTCTTTCTCCTATTATTACAAAAATTTCATTCATATCAAGATTCATATCATCTCCAGTAGGACTTACTGTTGTGAGATTATGCTCTATGGTTGGTGTAATCTCATTTCAGGCCCCAACAACGTTTTCTCGTTTGATACTGCTCATGTTCGGATGTGGAAATGCGATGCTGTGGTTGTGTGGTTCCTGGTGGTCAACTTCACCAAGAGAACGGTAATAACTGTTTACCATTGTTAATATAGAGTGTATTTGTCATTTGGGCATAATTTCTTTAGTCTTTGATGAATCTAAAAGAGGTTTAGATATTCTTGGTTTTCTTGCAAAGACTTTTTAACTAAAAAATAGCAAAGGGCCCTCCATATATACTCCATAGTCTCTCTGTTCACAATATGCATGTAGATAATTTTCCTTCCTGGATAGTCATCAAGCTATATTTGCCTGCCCTGATATGCCAGTCCAACATATATTGCAGTTGGTGAATGCATTTCACCTTAAATGTACTTGGAAATATTTTACATCCTTCCATGGTAAACATTTCAATGTTTTTGCCGAAAGAGATTTTTTAATAGACGTCTCAGTTTGGACGAGGTTGCTTTGACTATCTATTATCATTTGCTGGGAAAAATATTCAAATTTGTTTTGAAATAATAGTTACTAATTTGCACTTTATGGTACATCCCATGGTCCATAGGGCAGTTTCCTTTATTGTAAGCATTTTATTGTTTTTGCTCGTATGTACATATAAAAAACTGGTAACTGGATAAAGCTTTACTAAAATGTTATTTTAGAACCCTTTCGTTCTGGGGAACTATCCTTGGATTTTTTGCAATGCTGTCTCTAAGAATATGTTATGTCTCGTTAAATCCAATTTGGTGGAGTCCAACATTTAACACAGCAACCTGTATTGCTGGCATTGTTATGACGATAAGCCAAGCCGTATTTATCTCGGGCGACAGTTGTGTGGTAAAGACAAAAAAAAGTATTGACATAAGTTGGCACCAATGGCTACGTATTAGTGTCGGATTTTCCGCAATGTTTTGGCTGACGCATTGGGTGTTTGGGGAAGTATCACTTGTTTCACGTTGGGCTGTGACTGGCCTTCCCGAATCTGGACCAAACCCAAATCCATGGGGGTAAGTTGCAGAACATAAGATAGGGTCGTTATATAGTGGTGAGGATGCTTAGAGAAGGGCAACTTTCTCTCAAAGATATCTCCACATGGCACAATTTTTGTGAAAGTCCTGCTCAAGCAATCATTTATACTAACAACACACTTTGACAAAATAGCTTACAGTATAATTATAAAAGGTGTATAATTCAATCATAATTACGCCTTTCTGCATGAAATGAACCCAGTCTCAAGAAAACATTTATTCTACCTGCAAATCTTTGTTGTCTCGTCGTAAAAGATTAGATTTATATACGGTACGCGTTGGATGACAGCGAATATAACTGTACCTATAGGCAAAACACCAAAGAATTAAATGCCCATCTGCATGTTAATCTGTTCTTTATAATATCTGACCTTTTTTTTTAAATTTTTCATTAGTATTGCCGTTCTGATTGGCTTAAGTTTCGGTATCATGCTTTCTCCTAACGATTGGACGAAGTCGTTCGTTTGGTGGTTAATTGGTTCGGCTGGGGCGGCAATGTTATACCGCTTACCTACACACTGGTCATTCGTTGGCGGGATTATCCTAGCGGTCTATCTCATGTCGATCTGGCCGTTAATGGCGGATAAGTTGGCGCGCTGCAATCCTGGTTCAACGTTACCGCTTGCCATGGGACTATATATTGTCTTGATTTTAGCATCTGTTTGGGTTGTGGCGTTCAACTTCGTACCAGGCGGAGAATTCACACGTGAAAGAACGGGCACATTGATGGCTATTACGATGCTATTAATTGGTAAGTTCAAGATCTATATTGTTGCAATGCTGCTTGTCCTAGATTCGTAACAAAGCCATGTAATTGTGCAAAAAGTTAAAGGCGATTGTACATGTAGCTATGTTGGAGAGCTGATATCTTTATAAACAATACTGACCTGCAACGTTTCTGACGAAGACCCTAAGGTTGAAACATCCAATTTTTTTCTCATTCAACATGCATATTCAGGCATGTAGTAGTACAGTGTAGTTGAGACGATACCTTATTTAAACAAGCTATAGTGCGCTCCTACCGCAATGTTGTTTGATATTCAGGGGGCGGCTGTGCAAAAACTGGATGGCGGTTTATCATTTTGCTCTAAAATTACAAGTAATTTCAATTATTTTAATAGTAATTCAGATTAAACTGCTGTATTCTCTTTGTCAGTCGTGCGCTCTTCAACTATGTGTTATTGCTGTTTCAATATTTTTACATCGATTTAGAAATCACTATCCCACTCCTGATACAGTTCAATTGTATTCTGTACATAACAGTTTTTCAAGCATGAACGCGTCCTTCGAATGTAGGACCCAGGTAATCGTACCGTATATTCCTAGGTACTGGCATTGCTACAAACGTGCCTCTTCTTGAGACAAAGAGCAAGAATGGACCAAAATCAAGTTCGAAAATGGTATTTTTGAAATTACACGGAGACCGATTGCTATTTTTTAAAACATACGTCAAGATAGGTAGGTGTGTCATTGTTAATTTAGCGAAGTGAAGTGTATATAATTGGTTGTGTACCATTCACCGGAAAACCCATGTTTCAAATTTGTGCAAAATTGTGCGGAACATTTCGATTGGGAAACTTCATTTCCCGTTTGCTGTTCACCTGGGAATCAATATTAATTCTAAAATGGCGACTCTGTTTGCGTTGGTTTTAATTAAGAGATATGAGAATTTTAGACAATGATGACAGTAGAGACATCACCACTGACGTTATTAACTAATGTGTCTGTGATTCTGTCTGGTGGAAATTTTTCAGAGAAATGCAGGTATCTTATTTGGATACTTGTGCAAATGGTGGACAACTAATGTTTGATTCTTGGTCAATCAGTGGAAACTAATGTCAGTGAAACAATGAAATACGCTGCGCTTCGCCACGATACAGTTGAAATGAAAAACTGATCTTCGTGTATATGTAAAAGGTGCTGAGTGATGTCATTGACATCTCTTTCATTTAGGTTTGATATTTATTCTCATCGGTGGCTGTGCAGCAATGTTATTGCGTTGCAATTCCATGAAATATAACACACCTAGTCAGGTAAGCCGTTATTTTTTACCCAACTCTTGAAACTACTACGCCTTAATCATTCACAATTCCTTGTTACTCGATACTGTAAATGAGGCCACTCAGTATCCTCATGCACACAGAAGCTTGCGTGATGACGAGAACATTGGGCAAAGTCAACCACATACCCGGGTTTTTTTCTCTTGGGAAGAACCCTGGGTACGAGGTTGGAGCGCAGAGGCTACTGTGTTTATATGAGAGTGAAATATATCACTCGCTGCAAAAGAATGATTTTTTTAAAGATGTGAAAGTACATTTTCTTCATACCGTACGTTACGTTAACTTGTGCAGGGCGATGAAAAGAAATTCTCAGCGGCCGTGTGGACTGTTCACTTTGGATACGATAATCAGGGCTGGCCGAGTTATGAAAGAGCTGCACTGATGTTAAATGAAACTGGTAGGTATTGTAACATATCCCATATATAATGCTATATAGATTCATAGGTCGTAGCTGTAATCATCCGCGATGTTCACTGTCGGTGTTCACTGACGAATAAATCGCTTTGTGGTCATATTTTCACTTTCGTCGTCACTTTTTACTCAGAATACATAGCCAACTGTCGGTGACACGAGAACTAGGCTAAACAATCAAAACTCAAAATTATAGCTGTAAGAATGTATACCTATAAAAAATAACTATATATTTTTTTCTTGCGGTCCGAATTTATATTTTTCCTATACGGACCTCCAATCTGTTAAATAACATATATATACACATAGTATTAGTGGAATTAAGACCCTTTGAACCTCTAGAATTTATCTGCATCGAGTGAAGTGCCAAAAATCATAATTGACGGCATTAGCATCATATACACATTAACCACGCTTGCAAGGAGCATTGCACCGGCATCGCAAAAGCGTAGGTTCGATTCTTGCCAGAGGACCTATAGTTGACTCATTTTTCCATCAACTGTTCCTAGCTTTAATTTGAAGTGTGTATAATTCCATTCGAAATTAAGACCCTTTGAACCTCTACATATAGTATTAGCTTAATGAAGGTGATGCTACTTAATTGCCATTACGATCCTACTGACTCGTCAAAAGGTAGACAACATTGGTACGGAAACGTTGTTTTCTCAGAATGTTTTTCAAGAAGAAGTGGACAAAAACTCCATGCGTCTCGCGAATTCTCCCGCGCCAATGTCCTATTTTGCCAAAGCCTTTATTCGTTCTTGTTGTCGTCTTTGTGTAATTGTGTTTTGATTGCAAGGATACTGGACGTTGTATTTCAGGAGCGGATGTCATAGGCCTGCTTGAAAGTGACTGTTCAAGGCCGTATCTTGGTAATAATGATCTCACCATGTGGCTGGCGGAAAGGCTGGGGATGTACTCGGATTTTGGACCCTCAACCAGAGATCACACGTGGGGGTATGCCGCAATATTTGAATCCTAATATAATGACACCCTCTCTTCGCTGCATATAGTAATTTGCATGACAACAATTTTGGGGAATTTATTTCTATTTGCGCTTCTAAGGCAAACGAAGTATGTTCGTTGATATATTCCGCCTGATGTTGCTTACTTTGAGAATTTGTTAGTTATAAGCTGTTATATCTTTCATTATGTCGCATTCATCCTGGAATTATTGATGTGTGAACTTGTACATACTGTACCTTTTATGCTTTGTGTTTTTAGTTCTTTGATCTTATCAAAATATCCCATTGTGAAATCCTCTCACCACTTGCTTCCTTCCCCAGAAGGTAAAATAAATTCAATGCATGCACGTTGTCAGCACAAATATAATGCCCCTAATTCGCTAAATTCTTAATGCCCACTGCCTGATGATTTCAATTATGCTCTTGCACTTCTGGGAAATTTGTATTTACCCTGAATATCTAGACTATAGTTTAAAGATATTGATGATAATTTCTTTCTCAATGGAATTATAATCTCAATTTTTATATTACAGGAGAGCTAGCCCCTGCACTTAGTGCTAGTGTCAATATCTCTGGTCAGCTGGTGGACTTTGTTGTAGTACATATGGGAAATGATGGGTAAGATAATCTGACCTAATTTTTTATCCAGGCAATGCATGTAGACCGCCATTGTTGGCACTGTAAAAGCTTGCTATAAACGTAGAGTGAGTACTAATACTGCAGAGTTTCGTCGCATAATATTCCAAAATGCGAAAGTTATAGCCTTTCAAATTGAGTTTGCAAAATTCTCTGCTTTTGTATTGTGTTCATAAATGGCTATCATTTTTCCAAGAAGTGGTAACAAATACCGAAGGCATGCATTTTGTTTAAAAAAAGTCAGTCTATATAAAAATATATATCTATTATAACCGGCCTATATATTCAATACTTCAACACAGCTACAGAATATAAGAAAAAACCGTACGTAATATTTTTATATCTCCTTAATTTCAAGTTTCAATCTGAATTTTTGTCAATTAACCACTAACCCGTGATCAACTAAGATCCACGCGCGGTATGCCGTCTGCCGAGAAGTTAATTACTGTACGTTATATTCCTAAAGTTGCCGAGATGGAAAGCAGAACGAATTTGCACATACGTATACATACTTGCAGCATGCACCTTGCACCTATATAGGCTAAAGTGTGCTGGAAGTAATTCTGACTTGTTTACTAACCTTTTCTGATTTAGGGATGACCTGGATCGGAAGCTACAAGCTCAAGAGCTGGCACGCATCATGGATGAAAGGCAAGCCTACTGCATGTATATGCGTCTGTAGCTATAATGAATCTTTGTCTCAATTCAATTAACTTAAATGAAATCAAGAAAAACTCCAGTTTGCTAAGAAGGATAAAATAAGTGCCTGTACTGTACATGCTCTAGTGTTATCCAAAATCTTGAATTTCAAGATTAACTTTTATTTCGATATCGCGCGAACTGTTTCTTCCTTTCATTTTTTCCAGTCATAACCCAACAGTTTTCTTGGGCTACGTCACTTCCGCTCCTGGTAGTCGGGATTATCATGTCTTACTTAATAATGGTAAAAGGAAGGTACGGAATGCAAAACTTAATTACTACTCTTAAAATCGAATTTATAAACTTTGGCCACTGATGCGAGTGGCTAAACTGGTTGAATCGTCTGAAAATGCACGAATGAAGACGATACTGTTTTCAACTAGGCGAATTATTCGCGCGAACTGATAAAAATGGAAGTGATTACAACGTGGATTGCTATCCAGTTTATATTTCTTGAACTGATGTGATAGAATCCCTTTAATTTTGACTGGCTCAATGTCAATCATTAGGGGAAAGAAATTGACAGTGAGCACACATGGCAAACGTGTTGTACTGTAGGGAGCAATGCATCTCTTTCCAGGATATAGATCCCAGCGATAAAGAGCGATGGTGCGAATATATCATGTATGATGGATTGATAAGACAAGGCTATGCTAGGATTTCTCACGCAGGATTGAGTGATACTGAGGTTCAAATTGCAAAGTTTTTAATACCAGATGATCCCAAAAACTACTCGGATAATCAGCGAACTACGACGGTTGAAAGTGAGGTGCCTGAAATATCGCGGTTTTCTAATCGGTACGTATTGGCAGTGATTCTTTATAGTATAGTCTTGATAATCTTGTAAATCGATGACTACAATCATCCAAGTTGGTGATAGAAATCATAAGAAGAATATGCAATTCCCTAATTCGCTTTTGGCAATTTTTTTGTGCTTACTGTGTCAAATTCGAAGTGTATTTTAGGCCGTACGACTTATAGAAGAAATACCTATACATATAGGAATGCTCTTAATTGTGCTTTTCTTCGGTAGGTTTGGAAACTTCTTCAGAGGTCACTATTATGCATGGCAGCATCATTTTCACATGTCTACACCGAAGTACTTCCTGTAGTCACAATATAGTGCTATTGCTACAATACAACATGGTTAATATTACGGACAGCAAATTCATGATGGAATAACAATAGCAAAAAATGTAAGTTCACCTGTGCTCAGAGCGTCGTCGAAATTGAACACCATTCGGTGAAATCCGTTCCGTGCAATTACCGTTATAAATTGCACTCCACACCACTGCGCAGTAGGCAACTTTTCTTTCATATTGAGCTTGCTTTAATGAGTTAAATCGTCTATAATAAAATACGGCACTGAACGGTTTAATTTCTATATTATTCATGCATTTAGGACGTATCTATTATTAATGCTTGCAAATAATTTAAATTGAAGCCTAATTTTCAGCGCGGAAATGATATGTCGTAAATGTTATTCGACACAGAAAGGCCGAAAAACCAAATCGTTATAATAAATACAATTTTAGACAGAGGGCATTGGAGATGCTCACGGATCTAATAGTATATACTTGTGCGATATCGAGCACTTTGTAGTGACTATCAAGATTGAATAGCGAGATTTAAAAAAAATTATACACGTTTTTATTAATTAACGGGCTGGTGTGTAGACGTTAATTAAATCCGATTGCCTTGTATTTTCAGGGTATCAAAGCACGAATTGCATTAAATCATAAATGCGCCAAATGTAAAGATTTGGGGACTAAAGTGTTAAGGAAATACAAGTAAAAACACATTAAATCACTTGATAAGAAAATAAGAAAATTAGCCACTAAGCAATAACCAAGAATTTAGAATCACCAATATCATGCAAGAAGAATCAATGTTATCAGTCAGTTTTTTTAGAAACAGCGCGCTGCATAACATAACCTTATTCATTATATTAAAAACTATGACCAAATAGTTAACGTGATATATTGGCACAGGGCTGCCGCCTTTTGCACCTTTATAAGCGGAGGGCAGTGGGTGCTGCTTCCCCGTGGCTGCGGCGTCCCCGTATCTGCGACGCATGCAGTATTGCACTGAAGTGAAGTGGTACGAAATACACAAGTTACAAACTATGCTATTTTTTCTGACAAGGGTATTGAGCTCTCGTTTGATGTATATTATGTTACGTTTTGTTCTTATTCCTTAATTTTGAAGATTGAAGAAGTGTATTAGACAACAAACTTACTGTTAACCGGTTCAGCATAATCTATGTCGGCTTTATTATGATGTTTCTATACTCGCATGCATACTGCACATGCATAATATCAGTGCAATCTTTCGAGCACGTAATGCAGGCCTGATGTATACGTAACGTCCTGTGTGAATGTTCCGTATAGAGAACTACTATACAGTATAAATATCCTTGCATCATAGGGGGTTATTGATAGGGATTAGTTTAATCTCTTTTGGGAAGTGTACTTATGTATCTATAACCAGAATACACATTAGTCATTATTGTTAATTTGTGAAAATAGAACTTGTGTGAGTAATAAAACCAACCGACATTTCTTGATATCTTAGAATGCCCCAGCGTAAACCAAAGGTTCCAGACGACTTTTTTATTTTTTACAACAGTACATGACATAGAAGGTTTTCCGATATTTAGGCAGCCTCCATAGGTATAAAAAAGGACTAGCTGCGGTATTTATTAAATACAGAATATCTGCGATGTACGGAAACAAATCACTCGCATACAATTTCTCTTCTGTGCCTGCGAGATGCCAATGGACTCCAATTATTGTTGGCATTATTCCAAGTATTAGAACAATGTTCACGAGGAGTACTGTAGTGAGGAAACGGTTTTGATTTCTTAAACGTAGTTTCGTCATCCGTATGGTAGTTTCCGATCTCGATCGATTATTGACGAGTGATGAATGTTGTTTACGAATACTGATGAAAGCGAGGAGATAGATGAGGACCGTAGCCAGGAAAAATACGCTTGTGTACACAGTTGTCACTCCTGCTAGGCCGATTTCGTTTTTAAGAAGCTCGGTTGTTATCCAAGAAAATATAAAGTTAATCGTCCAAACTATCGCAATCCATATGTAGCACAAGCAAGATGTCACATAAACTTTGTGCCATAAAGGGAAAGCAATGGAGACGTATCTTTCCAATGCCAGCACAGCCACAGCCGGGAAAGGTAAAAAATACAGGAAAGCAGCGATACCTTTATAAATTCTTTCCAAAATTCCTGGCATACAGAATTTGGCCTGATAGGTCGTCTGCGATAGTAAAATATCTTTGAAATGAAACAATGAATTCAGCAGATCAGCAATGCTGACGTTTCCTATGAATTTGGTGTTCGGATTCTGAAAACACTTCAGTGGATCTCCATGCATAGCAAACAAGAGCATTATATTGGCTATTATTGCTACGACGATAAGAAACGTATAAACTGCAAGACTCCATGGTACTAGTGCTCCTAAAAAAACAACGCAGTCTTCAAAATTGCTGGTATAGTCAAATGAATCATTGCCAGTTTTCCAATCGTTCCCATCATCGTTCATTTTGAACGAGATCAGTTATAGTATAGCTAGGACGTTCTATTATTCATGCTTGAAGTATTTTAATTAAACTTAATTGTAGACGCGGAAGTTGAATGTGGTATCAGAAAAGTTGGAATTCTGCATGCCGATTGATCAACCAATTAAAGCGTTATAAATAATTTAATCTAATTTCGGACGAAGGACGTCTTTGACATTGGAGATGTATTGGGATTTATTAATATATGTTTTGTACACCATGCACATCATAATGCTATCAGAATTGAAATAATTTAAAGTGACAAAAAACCACGATTTAATTAATACAAAGACTTTTAAAAGAGCTAGGATCTGACTCCTCCACAGTCCCTTATCTGGACATTTATAGATCAGTAGTGACTAGGAAAAGTCCAGAAAAGTATCTTAATTATGCTTAATTATAAGTATTCGTTTGCGTAACACCAAAGCGACTGGGGGACGAGTCAGGAGCCGGAAGGAGTGTACGCAGCTTTGCGTCATTCATTGTGACCCTATAATTGTCCAAATACGCAACTTGACAAAAGCGTGACTGGCAGTCTGGCACTGGTGCCCAAATTAAAAATTAGTTCGTAAAACATAATGAACTACCTCTGAATTTTTGGTAGTACCCGTTCTTAGGCTCCGTGCCCAATTCCATTTTAAATTGACGTGTTGAACCTGGGCACCAAAGTACCAGGGCCCCCTTGGAACATCAAGCCCGTTTAGCTTAAACGGTAGATAAGTCAAAATTAAAAAACACTCTTACATCTCTCTTGAATGATTCAACTTGAATATTATGCACTAAATATATAGTTGCCGGTAAACAGTATCTTTGTATTAAGGTTACAAACATTCAGTTTGCTTCCTGAATAAAACGACTAAAAGTAAAACTTTCTATTTTGGACTTAACCACCGTTTAAGCTAAACGGGTTTGATACATCCGACCCCAGGCACTTGGTACGGCCTCGTTTACACTACACTGACTGCAGTCAATTTATTGGCACGACACGGCTAAAATGAGTACGTACCCAATTTTATTAGTGCTCAGGCTACCAAAACAAAGGCTGAGCAGGGATCAAATGGGCACAGATACCCATTTTAGCCGTGCCGTGCCAAAAAGTCAAGTGTAGTGTAAACGGGGCTGTAATCGATCAAAATAAATTCACAGACAATTTTGCAACAACTTACCCAAAAACCAACACAAGTCAACAAAACAAAACAAACTAAAACAAAACAAAATCTAAAAATTAACATCTTAAAACTCAAAATATAGGTTAAATCACGACAAAGATGAGTTCGTGATATTCCGATTTTCGTGTTATTTCAAGTTAGTCTGCATTGATGATTTTGCAATAAAAACGAAATATCTCTACCCATATTTTGAGTTTGAAGATGTTAATCTTCGGGTTTTTGTTTTGTAATAACTTACCCCCTGTGGTAATTTGCGTTGGTGTGTGTTGAATGTTGATATGGTTATTAAATGTTGTCACAGCGGATGTGTCACAGCAACCAAAACTGAGAAAGATAATTTTCCCAATGAAAATTATATAATTATTTGCTTCTGAATACATTAGTATGCTCATACCTAAAAAAAATAAATTGAAAATTATATAATTATTTGCTTCTGAATACATTAGTATGCTCATACCTAAAAAAAATAAATAGTTACTAACACTGAATACCAACGTGTGAAGCAGACCTAAAATGCGGGTCTCAATCGCTTTTCAGATAGCAAACTGAAAGAAACTAAGAAAGGGCACACGCAACACAACCTCGGGATCTCGCCATCATCTCGGTCATATGACCTGAGACGGTGATCAGCTTTATGACGTACAAGTACCAGTCAAAGGTCATTCATTTTCATCCAATCATATCCACTATTGCAAACACACCCCGAAGACTCCTTTAAAAATTTTTGCTTCGTGTTTAATACTTATGGACAGTGTCGAAGTATAGAGCAATTTGGTTTTATAACCAGACTAAGGCTACGGACATTTAGAATGATAGAACGCAAAGTTAGAGACAATTCGAGGTCACTCGAACTCATTGCTGGTGGTTTAGCTGGGGCTACGTCTACAGTTGTGACATATCCTCTCGAAGTTTTAAAGACAAGATTGCAGTCGTCAACATTCAGACTTGGTGGATTACCGCTGTTTTACCTCGGACAGAACGTGAACTTTAATATAGCCAGCCCAGTGGCTACAGTGGGAGAAATACCATTGGTGTCATATATGAGACAGATGATTAAAAATGAAGGCTATTCGCTATTTTCCCGTGGGCTTGCCGCAAATATTATGGCCGTTTCTTTGTCAAAGGCAATCTACTTTCCCGTGTATTCCTGTTGTAAGCGAATCTTGGGTCAATCTGATAGCGCCATCGTCCACAGTTCTTCGGCAGCAACGGCAGGCTTCGTTTGCACTACCTTAACAAATCCTGTATGGTTTTTAAAAACAAGGTTACAACTTGACAGTGGAATAAATATTAATAAACAGAACTCGTTTAAAGTGCCGATCCAAATCTACCAGAAAGAAGGAATACGAGTGTTTTACAGTGGCTTAGCAGCTTCGTATCTGGGCATAGTCGAAACAGTGTTGCAATTCGTTATATATGAGTACTTGCGAAGTCGGTATGTTAGAGAACAAGAGACATCACGTATGAATCCCAAATACCTTTCTGATTGTATGCTGGCTGGGGCAATTTCCAAGACAATTGCTACTGTTATAGCATACCCTCATGAGGTGTTCAGAACACGAACGAGAGAACAGGAAAACATTGGCAAATCGTTTGTAAAATTATTTAGAGAAATATTAAAAAATGAAGGCTGGCAAACGTTTTACAGCGGGTTGGGAACCCATTTAGTTCGCCAAGTGCCCAATAGTGCTATTTTATTTTTGGCTTATGAGGCAGTGATTCGCTATTTTGGGACGCGATAGCAATATATTTTGTATGCAGTTACGTAATTACGTGGGGGGGTTTTAAGTTAGATAATTACGTGGGGGAAGTCAAGTTATTAATTACCTATTACGTGGTGGGAAATTACGTCATAGTTGAATAATAGAATTTGCAATGGTAAATAATATTAATGATGTCATTACTTATTAATCATCTGTAAATAGTCATTAAAGAGTCATTATTTATTATGAACCCAATCACTATAGTCATTTATATCATCTGTATGTCGTCAAGTGTGTTTATAATGCCACATAATGATAAATCATGGTTATTAAAACCAAATGGCCTGAGCCTCGCAAGTTGGCGCTTTCAGTTTGTTCGCAGGTTTCCCCGTGATATTTGTGCAAAATATCCCACACGTAACGGTTTTTCATGCTGAACGGGAACACAATGACGGGCGTTATCACCAATCAAAGATTACAAAAATCGGCAGTTACGATTTACAGAAGTATCAGTGAACCTCAGATGGGGGGGGGGTTGAAGGATTAAAAAAAAAAAAAAGAAGCTTAAGTCTAAAACAAAGTTTAATTATTTAAAATATGCTAGGAATATACCTAAGCCAAGATAGACCTATCTATAACTAGCATCCTCGCAGGCATTTATAGGCAGATGGTGGCAATGGGAAGTTATAACTGTGGCTCTGCTATAGGTGCTAAATGGTAATTGCCTAACATTCTTCTAAAAATTCACAAATTTTGATCACTACCAGTTTTGGTTTGCGTTTACAATCCTACATCGAATCAAGACTATGTTCGCGTATTATTGTTTAAAACGAGATATGAAAAAAGGATACATGATATATATACGAAACGAATCAGTTTTATATAGTATATAACGTCAAATATTACAAGCAAATCATGCACTTACATAATAACTCTATTGGACATATTCGATCACTGTTTATACTCTATTTGCGTTCATAGGCGTACGGAACAAAATTTCGAGAATCAAGATATTCAGGCAAACTGAAAAAGAGTTACAGAGCTAAAATTTTTAGAACCAAATTTTGTAATATATATCATATATGGGTACTCTATTTGGCCATTTTTGTTACATTTTCTTGAAAGCAAATCCGCTGCTTTGCCAAGTTTATTGTTACAAATCTGGTAAATCTGGAAAATTCAGGCGATTTTTTTCGCCCTCTCAAACAAAGTTGCACCCGTACGCCTATGTCCGCGTTGTTTATTTCTAGCATTGTTTAATAATTAGAATGCTTGGAGCACAAATTGGATCAGTTTATTATACTTAATGTCAGAGGTGGTCTCAAATTCTGCTTTACAATGCTATAAAATAAAATTGCCTTCCGTTTTATTTATATATTAATCATCCAACATTATCGAATGTTATCATCTTGTTACACACACAAAATCATATTAATTATCCAACAGTATGGTGAAAGTTTTTGGAATCAATGCCATCAATCTTTACTTAAAATCATATATCAAACAAGTCATTCTTTCCAGGCTGAACAAACTCAACATTTCCCCCAGCCTCAACTGTAGTGTTATCAATAGGTTCAGAAGTGCTCCCCAACTTAGAGACATATCGGTGTATAATAAATCTCACTTGATACTCAAGATCTTTTCTCCTTTTCTTTGAATGGGATGAATTACCATGGAACAATACCAAAGGAAGAGCAAATGTTGCACACAGGAAGACAGCTTGTACATAGGTTGATGTGTCCTCAGCATTATTTAGAGACATAATGGCTGCAAATGCTATGGACAGATAAACTAATGTTAACAGCAGTTTCATCACAATTATGAAGAATGTTTTCCCTCTTGGTCTGAGTCGACGGTAGACAGCAACATAGAGATTGAATGGAATTGATGGGGCATAGTTATTATCCAAGAGCAACAATCCTGGCCCTGCAGCTTGGGTTGATGTCATACTGGAGCTATCACTTGCACTTGACGTTGGCTGGATATTCATTGGCTCCTGTTGCTCATACTTTTCGCATTCCTCAAAAAGAACAATCCGCAAGTTCTCATAAACAGAAATGTAATGAGAAAATGCTCTCCAAATGTAGAAAATAACAAAGAAAGCAGAAACTGTGTAGGGAATAAAAAACTTTACATTGAAGCCAAGACCAATTAATGTGTAAAGAAATATCTTTCCAAGAATGTAGAAAAATACTCCAAACATTGATGTCAAAAATACATAAGAACCCAGAACAGAACTACAGAATAATATGAACATACAATATAGAAATGAAACAAGAACTATTCGAATACAAGAGGGAAGTCGCTCACAACAGTCACTGCTGAGAGGTATATCCTGACTATAAAGAAGACGACAAATCCGAAAAGCAACATATCCAACTGGTGTTATATAAACCACAAGACAGAAAATAACAAATGGTATCCACAAGGCCATGATAACTGGAAGGAGAATAAATCCTAGAACCAAACAAATTTTGGGAGTTTCATAATCCTGATCAAAGTCAACTGTTTCTGATTGTTCTGGTGTAGTACTTCTACCAGGACAACAGCAATATGTCAGCAGCCATGTACATGGTGCAAAAATGATTTTCATTATAAAAACCCAGAATCCAGCATCAATACAGCACTTCAAGTGAAATACCATATTTGATTGCATAAACTGAAAACCTGTTTTTCCTGTGTGATGATTGAGGTACTGCTCGGGTTTTGGGAAACCAAGAAAGGTTTTTTCATCTTTCCGACCGGACAAAGATCTACCCAATCCAGACAACCGCCCAGGAATAAGTACTAATACACTAAGCACAATAATGCAAAAAAGGACAATGGCAAAGACATAATATTCCACTGGCTGCTTGAGAAACCCAATCAAGCCTGTGTAGTAAGTAACATTGCTCCTTATCGATGTGTTATTGTTGTCGACTAAAAACACCCAAACACATGCACAAAATATCAATGGAAAGATTAACAGTCCAATGACTCGACAAAGTCTAGAGTAACATGCCTGTGCTTCATCTCCACCACATGTGACAAAAGATAATGGTTCAACAAGAGTGAGTAGCTTTCTATTTGTAGCAAGTGAGTCAACAGGTGTAGCCAAATAGTTTGAATAACCAAGACGTTTTGGTCCAGTGACTCTTGACCGACGAACAATCTGGCTATCTCTAGTTGGCAAGTACTTAAATAACAAAGGTGCAATCAAGAAAAGTACAGCACTGACAACTTGTACAGCAATTATGGCATAGGACACCCAATCATTAGGATGGATAACTTGTGAACAGTTTACAAACCCATTGTTTAAATTTTCCTTCCATGTACAGCATCGATGAACAACATCACTATCATCAGTCTTATTCTTTCCCTCCAAAGGTGGAAAACAGACTGGGCTACCAGGTTCTACATTGAATTCTGTGTTTTTGTAAAATGCTGCTACTATCACCAAGTCTTTGCAAATCGCGTCAAGGCGATTAAAACAATTTGTATCATTCGCTGGGTACATTTTAACACTGGAGGACTGCACAGAATGTTTCAAGGTCGTTAGTGACAGTATTTCACTGTCGTCAGGAAGTGCCAGTAAAAACTCAGCTCTCATTTTTCTGACCAAAACGAAACGTCTATTTACCCCCATCGACGTGCTATTTGAACTGTCCATTATAGTGACTGTAAACGATACAGCAATGTCGTCCAAACTAATACGATCAGCTAGCTTACCGGCTTTTAATTGACAGTTGCAATGCGTTTTCGGTTCTGCAATTGCACCAAAAAGGGCATTCTTTCCTGCTGCTTCATAGCCATTCAGCAACAATATAGCGATGAACAAGCTCACAGAGTTTATACTTCGGTTAGTTCGGTACATCATTAAACCAGCAAGGAAATAAATCGTAATAAAACAACCACTAACGCTAGTGTTTGTTAAACATAAACTTCTGGTTTTATAAGTTCATATATAGAAAAATTTGCAAAAAAAATTGCAATTACAAATGTTGCATAACCTTGCGCATTCAAGTGACAATTTATTGGTCACGTGGTACAAGTCGATGAAGTCGAATGACAATTTATATGGTCACGTGGTTTACTTTTCACATGATCTTGAGTAGATCTTCCAGTCGAGTTCCAAAATTTATCATTCAAACTTCTAAAAAAATTCTCTGTTCAACTTCAACAGTTCAAAGCTCATATTCAAGGTTGAAAAAATATTCATTTAAGAATTAAGGTCTCAACTCCCTGTTCAGTAATGCAACGCCTTACGCCTCGTGATCTAGATTCTCGACATCTCGTGACAAAGAAGACAAAGAATAAAATAATGTAAATTGTGGAATACGAAAATGGAACCAGTATGGAATGGAAACACAAAAAGGCGGACTTTTTGAAATTCGAAGTTGTGGTTAAACAAAAAGCAACATGGGTGTGCATCATTTATGGAGCATTTTAGAACCGTCAAAAACAGAAGAAAGTATTCAAAAACTTCGTGATAAGACGTTATGCATTGATCTAAGTCTGTGGATATGCGAAGCTCAGGGAACAAAAGGTTTGAAAGATCAGCTGAAGCCATATCTACGCAATGTTTTCTTTCGAACGATGTACTTGGCAAGTCTCGGTGTTCGTCCAGTGTTTGTTGTTGACGGTGTACCCCCTGAGATAAAACGAGAGACTATTGGGAAAAGGTTACAAGCACGAGGTGGATATGTTGCTCAGAGTGGTCAAAAATTAAGAAAGTTGAACAGATCAAAGTTTACAATGCGATGCAATGAGGTGTATAATAAATAATTGTATTATGTTTTCATTGTCCTGGCCACAGGCCAAAATGCATAGTATATACTCACCAAATACCATTGAGGCTGACAATGGGAACAGCTAGGGAAATGCAACACTATAAAGGTTCCTTGACAAGAATATATCCTGTGATTCTGGGCTGTGCTCCTATTAATTGTAATGTGTGTATGGTGTAATTTCTAGTGTCATTTTAAATAATTGCCTTGGGAAGATCTTACCTTCAATGAGAAAAGGTGGTATCTTGTCTGACCAGGCAGCTAGGCTAGCTTAGAGGCTGTTTACATGCATGATCCTGCAGGATTAAACAAAGCATGAACTAGCTGCCCTTGATGTATTGAAATGAGAATGTATATTTATAAACATGATCCTGGCATTTAGTTGACTTATTTCAATACCTTAAAATCATCTCACACTTCTGAATCTCTGTATGTGGTAACCAGGCTCATGTAAACAGCCTTAATGGTGCTCATAGTGGCTCAAATATTAGTCTAATTAACATGGGTATTATAAAAGCATCTTGCTGGGCGCAAGCATATAGCTATGTACTCATTACCTTGTATATATGGTACGTATAGTCAGTAACACCCCTTGGGAATTGTATTCTAGCATATATGTCAAGATTTTTGTGTTGCAGTGCTGTGAGATGATGAAATTCCTTGGAATACCTTTTATCAAAAGTGATGGAGAAGCTGAGGCAATGTGTGCATGGTTGAATGAAAAAGATGTGTGTAACAATTAGCTGAATGATGACACTTAATTAAAGTCCCAGCCAATTTAAATGTCCCCATTGATAGCATACTTTTATTATTATATTTTAGTATGCTGATGGTGTTTTAACTGATGATGGAGATGTGTTTCTTTATGGAGCAAAAGCTGTTTATAAGGATTTTAATATTTCTACTAGCAAGGTGGACATCTGTTACAAATACGAAATTATATAGTATTTTAGTTATATAACCCAGCTATTGATAGGTCTTTAATTAAGACATATGGCTGGCAGAAAATGTATTAATTGACACTCGATCTATATTCTATTAAAATGTGTAATTATAAATTATTTTGGTTTTGTTTTAGAATCCCACGGATAAGTTGCAGGTTTTTAGGTTGGAAAAAATTGAAAGTGATTTGGGTATGTTTTATATTACTTCAATTAAATACATATTTAAGAATAGTATGATTACCAATTAGCGGATGACATTGCTAATGAATGTGAGAAAAAAAAACCAATTTTTAGTTTGATCATATTAAGGGTTAACACGAAGAAATATGATTGCTCTCGCTTTGTTGCTTGGTTGCGACTACATTCCTGCAGGTGTCCCGGGGGTTGGAAAAGAGACGGCAGTCAAGTTATTCACCTCTCTTCTTGATGTTGACTTGTTAGACAGGTATATTTATATATTCAGTAAGTTTATATGGACTACTGCATGGTCAGTTCACATTGGATTGGTTGAATAAAAGCAATGCGAAATGAAATTCAATTTAGAAGACGTAAGATTTCTATGGATAATTTTAAAGCAATATATGGCTTCATGTCAGTGGAATATATATTAGTTGGTGACCAGTACCTGGCATTTAATTATGATTTAATTACCCTGCCACTGGCCATAAATTTCTTAATATTTAGTCATAGATATATCTTCCATAATTTATTCTTATTTGGAAAAACAGAAAATCCGCACACTGCATGGCTACAGACAAACAAATACGAGTTTTCTGATGAAGAAACTAGGATAGGCTATATCTATCCAGTCAAAAAATGTTCTTTTTCTTTTTGTACTGTACACGTTAATTAAGGTTTAATGCGTGGAAGTCATCGCCTGACATTCATCCTGCGGAGTTAACAAGTTTAGAAGTGTCTATAAAAAGGTTCGTTTTGACGTCACATGGCTTGGAACTGGTTTTAATTTCAATATATGTAACTGATACTTGCCTGTCTTGTCGATGCGAGCGGAGTTCTGAGTGAGCTTCTCAGGGGCTCAGGTGCATGGACAATCCGGTAGACCTTATATTTTCACTGCATGATTAAGTCAAAAGTCAGTTCAGTCACATTGACATTGTGATTCTATAGCATGGCCCTCACATATAACCGCGATATAATTAATTAAGCAATCAAATTATCTTGACCATATATTAATGATCTCATTTTTGTAGGAAAGCTGTCAAACTTCCAGATTTTCCCAATAAGGCTGTAAGTCAGTATAATTCTTTGCAAAACAGATTAAAAAGTTGAAAGATTAGTGAAAATTGATTTAGTATTACTTTAACAAAGGTTATAAAAGAATTCCTTTCCCCAAAACTTGGAAATACAAATGTCAACTTTGAGTGGAAATGTCCAGATTTGGAAGGGGTTAAGGTAATAAGTAGATTGTTTATAATATAGAGTACTTAATATGCAGTCATAATTATAGTTCTAGGCACTAGTAACATTCAGTGAACTGGTAACATTTCATTGTGAAATCTATATTTCCCTACATACGGGATGCCAGTCGCTCACTCTTCTACAGTAAATTTTTGGATTGCAATAATACTTGGAGGGGTATTTGGACTATATTTTGTGAAACATAAAAATGATAAAATGTTTGCTATGGAAAAGGGCGTGATCGAGGATTCGAGATAAACATCAAAATTGTGTCTCGAAAAGCTGATGCAGGGTTTCCAAGTTTCTCTTAATTATTGGATAACAAACTAGATACTTCTAGGGAGTAACAAGATGCGATAAATGCCGTCTGCCCGACTGATTTCTTTTGTAGAAAAATGTGCATTCAAAAGAAATCCAAAACATAAAATTCGAAATTTTATTTGTTCTTACAGGAGTTCTTTTTCCGAAAACTGGAGTGGCCGAAGGAATATACTGAAGAAAAGGTAGGGTAAAATTCTTAACTTTTTTTGACGTCGACTTGCTGTTCAATTTCAAATCCTTTTCGAGTACTTGGTAACTATTTCAAGGACTCAAGGTGTACTAGAAAGTAGAGATATTATTTATAAATTATACACGTAATCCTCCTCGTACTGTAATATATGCCACAGCCTATCGTGATGGTAAAAGATGCATGCATGATCCAGCCATGTCAGTGATTATTGTTTTACGTACGGCACATTGCTGCATGTGCGTATAATTTTTAGGATATTCAAACTAACTAGCTCATGCACTATATTCCTTGAATTTTTAATCCTGAACATTGTGCTTACGGAGCTATTTATAAAAGAATGTCAATTTATTTTTAAAGATACTGATTCTCGTGACTGACTGGCAACTAGCACATATGAACCCTACTCGAGATCTTCTATTTTCCCCAACAAGGTAACGTAGCTGTTTGCGTTAACACAAGACAGTTTGGTTACATTGCCTTTTGTTCATGTTACACATATGTACCTATGCATATATATAACAACTGCCCCGTTCCTTATACCTTTTTCATGAATTTTCTAAAAACGAAGGAAAAATACTACAGTATTGTCAACATGAATATATAGAATATTTAAACTGAATTATACGTTTATGCATGCTTTCATATACCCTGCTTTGAAATTGAAACCAAAACAGGTGACTTTGTATTCATGGAAAGGGTAAGGGTAACTAAACTACTAAATTAGTCATGCAAAGATTGCTGTAAACTATGTTTTGATGCTATGACGGTTCAGAATCGTTAAGCCAAGAGTTAGACAAGGCAAGGAGTACTATGAAATTGAGTGGAACACGAAAGATGAAACTGGCAAAGTCTGGCCAAAGGCCTTCGTTACTGTTAAAACAAAAGAGGTATAGGATCCCGTATTAATCGTGTAGTTAAAATAGTTTACCGAAAATTTATTATAGAACAACTCTATAGTTATATCTAGATTTTTTCGAAGTATATATTTTTAATATCAAAACTCGTACTGTTTTATAGCGACTGAGATTCTAAGAGAGGCGTATATATTGCGCGTTGAAATTGTTTAGTTCGCTAAAATAACGTGCAGTACGTATTACCATTACCAAAAGTTTATTACCGATTTTAGCATGATTTTTAATCATAAACAAAGTAACGTTTGTTTATGATTAAAGCAACGTAAATTTGCTTTAAGTAACGTAAAGCAAACGTTTTATACATAGATTATGTGCAACAAATTCCCAGTGCTTGTTGAAAGATTTGAGACCGAACTAACCGCCAAAAAGAGCAAAGGTAAGTGTATTTCTGAGAAGTCGTTTATAAATTCTATATGAAAGATTTATTATGCTTCATAGTCGTTCGAAACTTAATTTTTCAAATCCGGTTTTCCTCATCACGCATGGCAGAAAAACTAATCCTGTGCGTGCAGTTCACGATCAGGAAATGTTTTCTTCCCCCATTTAGGAAAAACGAAAAAGAGCCAGAAAAATAAAACTACAGCTGATGAACCAGAACATCTTGATAATTTGATGAACAAAATCCATAACATAAACCTTGAAGACACAGCTCCGAGGGTAGTACTTTGTGACGATGAATGCGGTGATCTATCTGGAAAGACTTACGACAACAGCTCCACGGCAGAGGATAGGCAGATTAAACCTGAAATAGTTTGTACTTATTACGAGGTTGATGAGGATACGTCGCTAATTGTTCCAATGACCAATTATACTCAACCTTCACAATATAAGGAGTATGGCACGGATAGAGAACTTCAAATTTTGGATTGCAAAGTGAAAGGAGTTAAAGAAGCCAAGATTCCCGCTGATTTTGTTTGTATAATTTCTGATGAACAGGCTGATGCTGTTGCTGGTGAAATGGATCAAATTGATGCAGAGGGAGTCAGTTGCAAAAATATTTCATATAACATAGTCGGTAGTCCTATACGCAACGGTTTTCGTGAAGACGGTTTTCACTCTCCGAGTGAAAATGAAATGACATCGCTCAATCTGGTAGATATCACGATAGACCAAACGATAGGAGCTGACCTTGTCATTGGAGATATTGACGATTTACTAACAGATTCGTTTGTCGCAAGTCTGCAGGATTTAACCCCTATACAACATGGTGAGTCTCACATTTGCGCCACAAAATCAAGTTCTAAACCATTAAGCAGCCGTAGCCGAAGGGTTGGTGAAAATGATATTTCTTTCGATTCAAACACGGTGTTAAATAAAGGTTTATCATCGAATTTTGAAGACGAAGTCTACTGTGATAGTCTGCAGCAACCGAGTAATAAACCAACGAATGACGTGAGAAGGCAAGAATTGTCGATTGAATACGAGGATGTGATTAAAAAAAGAGCTATTGGCGAAGTTAAACCGAACTTGCAGACGTGTTTGACTTCCTTCTCTCACACACCAGACTCTCGAGAGACAACTTCCTTGGCTTCGCGACTTTTGAAGCGATTTCAAACAGAGAATCGTACCAATGTTGCAGACAAACTTCGTTCTATTTCTGGCGAAGGTGATCTCGTTTAAACGCAGCGAATAAGCCCGTCAAATAAAAATTGAGAACGCTGAAAATGGCGTATTTATACAAACGAATTGTACTAAATTGTTTCAAATTATTTTTTATAAAATATTGGTTTTGAATAGTCGATTATATTAACGTTAAATTATAACTTAAATTATATCAGGAATGCCGATGTTGTGATGATGCATTTGATGAGTATTGATAGTCCCTGTAGGGCTTTATCGTTTGCCCCATTTTAGGCCGATCCTATAAAGTCACAACAATACATCAAAAAACATTTTGTCTACATCCCCCGCTTTTATAAGCTTTATAATTAAGGCCTGGTTCACACTAGCTTTTAAGAATCGGGGATCCATTGTATTACTTTATGATAGACAAAGCATTTTGCGCACCAAGGACAAGTGTGAACCAGGCTTAATCAGTATGTAGCTACTAAAGAAAAATATTTCGAATGCGATCGAAGTCAATTTTAATGAAGGAAAACCACGCACTTAATCAAAAGTTGACTTTTATAACTTCATTTTCCATACTAATTTGATTCGACTTCAGCATGCCGGGCGACGTTGCGATGTTGTCATGGATAATTCATTCAGCTTTACGAAAGAACTATATATGAATAAAGTCGATAGTAGTTTCAAGTATATCACATCTGAGCAGTCTGAAGCTCCGTTTACACTGCCGTCAATTTATTGGCACGGCACGGCTAAAATTGGTACCCGTACCCAATTTTATTAGTGTTCAGGCTACCAAAACAAAGGCCGAGCACAGATGAAATGGGTACGGGTACCTATTTTAGCCGTGCCGTGCCAATAAATCGAGTGTAGTGTTACTAGTGTACACGAGGCTTGAGCTTTAAAAGAGTGTGGACTTTATCTGAACCTTCCACGTGATGTGGTTGCAATTCAAAACACGTGCGTGCTTATGAGACACGTGACAGATCATTTAAGATATGTATGTATAGATATCAGGGGCGTCAAAACAAAGGACGATTCGAGGGGCTGAAAATGCAAATAAGTAATTCAATTTATATACAGCCCGCTTTTGGTATCGAATATTTGCTGGGCTAACCCTTCTCAAGTATATATTTCTCACGGGTGAATATATATACAGTATATATATCCGCACGTGAGCTGCACCCACACGTGACCATGAATATTAAAAATATGCTCGCGAAGATCGTGTGTTTAGCGGTTTATCTTACACTCTTTTAGGGCCTCATCACCCCTTTTAGAGTAAAAAAAATGATTTAATGGAAATATTTCACCAGAACACCTGCGACCATTTATACAATCTACTTAATAGTGGTCGAAGAGGCAGGATGATCCGTGTGTTCTTGAAGTAAAGGACGAAAATCCACAAGGTATATATAGAAATTAGAAGGAAATTATACAAAGGAAATTATACAAAATACTATTTACAATGCAATTATTATAAGTTATAAATAATATTCTAGCCTGATTCACAAAAATCGAAGATCTTAATGCCCTGTTGTCATCATGCATATATATTTATTTCCCAGCCCTAGTTTTCATATAGGCCCAACAGTCGAGTAATGTTTGTCGCTTGAGCCTTGAGGAGTTATATATTTGAGTTATATCTATTGTTATATATTTAACTTATATAATGTGTATGACCATGAGCAATAAAAGCACTCGAAATTTTTCCCTTATAGCAATTCAATACATTTTCTGTTCCAAACAATGGTGGGTTTACGCCACCATATTGAACTATTTAACATTTCAGTCATCAATGTCAGAACTCACAAATATATAAGTTTTAACTTGTTTTCATTTTGATTTTTAAATAATAGCCACATTAGATATTCTAATCAACAACACATATATTATGTCGTAAAAAAATGTTACAATTTTTTTGTACAGAAACACAAATTATTATCAAAGAACCCCAATTATAAAGTCAACAAATTTCTAGCAGAGATTTAATAAATGCATGTTGCCCCTTCCCAAACACAAGTCATACAGGTTAAATTGCTTAATATTCACTTTTCAGCTGGGATCAGTTATCTTATGACACCATTTATCAAGAAAATTGGGCACTACACACAAGCAAATTGAATGAGTCCCAAAAAGCAGTATAAATATGCAGTATTCTTACCTTATTGAAACAGTGATAAATAGAGAGTGCAGCATAGTGAGATATCATTTTCAACATCAGAAATATATTCCATATCTCCAAGTATCCATGTATTTTTGTTTTTATTATATCGCCAGGATGCATATACCAGCTTCCTGATTGGTGGATCAAACACAAAATCGCACATGTGTTATTATCATCAATAATCACACATACATGTTATTATCGCTTTTTATATGGTGGTTTCACCAATAAAACGCTGCATTATTATATAAAAATTGATTTTAATACCAGTTTTTCCAAAATAGATCACAGCTTAAAAAATACAAGGCCATCTACATGATATGTATATCTATGTTGTACACATCTACAATGAATAATAACCCTTTATATCAACTAGTAACAGCGACAAAATCTAGGTTGTTTTTCTAGAAAATAATTGCCTGACATCTGTCATTTGTTTACAACATGCCCTTAGCCTTCGCCTTGGAGAAATTAATTATTTCTAGAAACTAAATTACATCTACATTGCTCTTTTCACATATATACTGTACTGTGTCAGGGATGATCCTAGAAAGAGCCCTTTTTTGTCATTGCCTCCCTCCACTTTTTCTACATAAATCCAAAATTGTTTTTCATTGATTGGTAGTTGACATTGTACTCTTATATGTCTTTTCCTGTTTGACAGGACTCCATTAAAAACATATGCCAATGTGACCTCAAATCAATGAGGTCACAAATAACAATAAAGATATTTTAGTTGTGTTTTTCCTAATTTTCCGACCACCTGTTTAGCGTTTTTTTGCCATATCTTTTTGTTCACTGGCTACCAAACTGGCGAAAGTTGTCTCAAACGTTTTATTGGTCAAAAAACACAGATATACTTTATTGTCTATGACCATGCATGTCTGTGTCTCTGTGTCAGTGAGGTAGGCTAGCTAGCCAGCATATATCATGGTCGTATACTAAACGTAAAAAAAGTATAAAAACCGTACGTAAGATAAGCCATGTTTATTTAGTATTCATCAATACATCATATTATTTTTATTTTTTTTTTTAATGCAAATTGCCGTGGGCAACCTTTTCCACAACGAGTATATGTGTATATTATTTTTGGCTATTCAGAACTCATCAAAACTACGCGTGCTTTACACTAAAAGATATGAAAAGAAGAGAGCAGAACGAAGACAAGGTACTGTTTAAGGTGTAACGGTACTTTTCGCAAGTATACATGTATCTCAGAGATTCCAAACGTTTCAGGAGAAAACCGTAATTTTCGTGAAAAATGTGCGAATAGTTCAGTTCGAAAGGAAAGAGGGAAACAATAGATAGGTTGGGATATAACAGAGGTACTGTAAATAGGAAAGTTTTTTTGCATTCGGCATATGTATGCTGCACATGCCAGTCAAATGATTGCGCCTTTCACCAAGTTAATACTCCCTAAAGAAGCCTAGGTAAATAGCTCTCAAAATTACCCTCGGTTTGGCTATAATACATCTTTTTTTGACATTAGAACAAGGCCTTCCAGACCAAGGATGAGTCATTGGCATCTCAACGATTATCAAAAAAGCGAAGATTGTCTGTAAGTTTTTTGCATATATTATATATGATTCACTTCCTAGCTCAATAATCATAATTCATTACACGTATACTATGTTAAGGCTCCAGATGAAATAAAAAATAAAGATGATTACCGAACATCAAAAAGACAATGGATTGAAAAGAGTCCTGAAAACAGCCCATCTGCTGTGAGTGAACTTTATTACTTATTGAAAATAACACCGCAATAAACCGTCTCCATATATTTGCATGCGTCATCCGTGCCTGTAATTGGCGTTAAAAAGTTGTTGCGAACATATTAGGGTCAGGAATTTTTTGAACGCCTTAAACTCTATTTAATTCTATATACACTTTAATTGCTATATCCCTTTCAACGAAAATTTGGCCTACATTTCGCGTATATGTTTAACTTATTTGGTTTTCTGAGATAACAAGTTGTATATACAGTAGGAGGCAAAAGTTTGAGTCCAGTGACTGTATTTCATTGTTTTAGCAGCATATATTAATATTCTACAGAAAACTTTACCGATAAGTGAACTAGAAAAAAGTAAATAAGTAAACAGAAAAATACATGCTGTACAACAGCTATGAGATGTTATGATATTCATTTTTACGTATTTTAATGTGCAAACATGCATTTACATGTCATTGCTTAGTTCCCTCTTTTTTGCTCTTGAAATGATCTTTATTCTTGCTCGCATAGATTCCATAGGTTTTTTAATGTCACACGTTCAAAACCTTGCCAGCATTCGTTGACCACTTGCCTCAAGTCAGCCTGGCTGGCGGGTCTGTGCCTCGCCCTCTTCCGGTTAAAACGGTTCTACAAGTGCTCCATAGGTTTTAGATCTGGAATATGAGGTGGAAAGCCATGACAACGAGATCACCAGAATGAGTTTGCTTCTAAAAGATTTCTGGCACATAGAAGATGTGCTTGTGCTTAGGGTGATTATCATGTAGTTAGACGTGCGATCATCTTTGTGCCAGATGAAATTCCATGTCCTTGAAGAATTGGATGATACTTTTCTTTAATTAGGATCCTATTAAATCTTTCAATATTGCCAAACCGAGCATGACCAAAGCAGCTAAAAGTTTGCTTGAGTAGGATTTAGTTTCTTCGAACCTCTCCAAGGTTAGTTGCATACCACCTTTTTAATTTCACTTTTTCTGCGATCTTACGAGGAAAGAATCCTTCAATACTTAATGCAACTATTTGTCCTTGTGCACCATCACTATGCCCTTTCTCCCACCCATCTTGGGCAGTGTAAAGGAATGAGAACTTTATTTTGTTATAATTTAGATCATTAGGACCAAAACAGTGTGCAATTAATATAGTTTACAGTACTGAAACACTAGCACGCATGTCTTATCTCGAATACGCTGCCAGGATTTAATACTGGAATGCTACAACGACTGGACTCAAACTTTTGCCTCCTACTGTATGTATTGTTTTTCAATTTTAAATTATTGTATATATCTAATCTAAAGAACACATAATTGTGACCTTGACTAAAAAGGTCTAATAAGTTGCAAATATATATTGTTCCTTATTTTATTATGTATTTTAAATTATTGTATATATTTGTATGTAAAAGACACATAATTCAGTCTTATGACTGCCAGTGTCTCTTTTCTCTAATAAATTTTCTAATTTTCTTCTTTATCAATTAATCACTGCGCATGATTTGTTTCAAAAGTTGATATATTATCATTTGGCGGTGCTCTCTAATAAACATTACCTGCAGAGGTGAAATGTTAAAATAAAAACGTAGGACTTTGACAGAGTGACTGCTTTTTAAACAGGTACAGATAAGGGAATGATCGGGCAAAAGTTGGATATGAAATTATATGAAATTTTAACTGGCAGTTTAAAAATTGCTTATAATAAATAGGAAAGATGTCCATGGAGAAGTTTACAAATAAAAAATATTACACCAAACTGTAAACGTCCTTTCTGATAGCACAATATTTTGCACCTACAGGAAATTGGTCAATTGTTTAGATAAATTTGCGAGAAAATGAGTGTAAACAGGATGAGGAATATCTGCATTATAACGTCAGTATTTTAGGTTAATGATATACAGTCATTCTGTTTTTATTATTCATATATAGTCCTCCGACTCTGACGATTCCAGCTCAAGCTCAAACTCTAGTAGTAACTGGAGTTCATGGTCTTCAGAAGATAGCATCCCAACTGAGATGCCAGGAGAGAATCTGGCGAATGTTACTTCTGATGCGGAAGGTGATTTATACATGAGAATAGCCTTTACCATGTCTTGTTATACTACTACTGTAGTGTTATTGCGTTGCAGATCTTCGGAAAACTAAGGAAGAAGAGACTGTTGTTCTTAAGAATTTGGATAACTTCTGGTTTAGTCTGCCCGCGGGAGATGCACGCAAGCAATTGCAAACGACAAGAACACAAGTTAGTCAGAACGCCTGTTCATTGGAAACATTAAGGAAACGATGTGGTAATGTGGAAAAGCTAATGGAGTAAGATCTACCGATATAAATATTTTTTTACTTTATTCGATCCTACATAGTAGATGAAATTTCAACAACAGCGGTGTCGTTAATGAGCTAACTTCTCGTCAAGTTGAACACTTGCACACTGATGGTACCATCTAAACGACTATACAATTTCAGACTTTGATAAATTAATGCCAGTAATATTTTGTGTATGTATATAGGTTACCGTGTGTTTTATCTGTTGGCTACTGCAAGGAAGATTCGAAATTCAGGGTTTTTGTTACCGATCCCAGTAAAGCACTGGAATTGTCGAAAGACCTGGCAAGCCCAAACATTGAACTAGTCGAGGCAAGAAGTTCGTACTTAATGTAAGGTTTGTTATTCAGGTTTTATGCATGTGTGTAGGTAGTGAATTGTATCTACATGACCGTCCTTGTATTTATTGAGTTATTAGGGCTTTGTTGGGAAATGGGAAATGTTGTAACTGAATGACTAGAATATAGCCGTGCAGATGTCACCAAACATGTTTGTTTAGAACAGCCCGGCAGCGCATAGTAGCAAGTTGTAAAAAAGCTGCGGGTACGCGGGTGGCACCCGGAGGAAGGTTTGCTTTGAATGAGGTCTGTGAGGAAGGTTCAAATTTGAACACTCTAATTGAACATATGCTTGTACCAAAAAAACAAATATTTCTTTATGCTTGTTGCCACTTGACTCGGTGACGTTACGTCATTTTGAGGAAGGTTTGGCAAAACTTGAAATCCTACCGGAGGAAGGTTGAACTTTTTTTGCAACTCTGCATAGTAGGGGTGTTGGGAGGTGGAATAACCCCACTCATTTGCAAGTGGGCGAAAGTATGTTTAGTCAACAAAACTTGGAACCAGAACGGACCTTTTTTTGTTTTTCTTTTCACTGAGAGAAACCTGACAACTTTGAACATTAGTTGAAATTAAGCCTCGGCCTATACCTTGATCCGCCATTGAGCTTGAGAGATCCGAAGGAAATGCCTTTCAGAGATTTTTTGAAATAAAGGTCCCCTTTGTATATATTATTGGCCCCCAGGCTTCCTACCGACAAAACCGAGTAACAGTGTAGAAATAGTACACAGGGCTTGCACTAAGCCATATTATAAATAGGTGCAAAATTATCACATTTGCACGGCTACATTCTATTTCCATTTTTATTTGTATGGGAGTGTACAAAAGTGTACTTCGTAAAAATACATATAGAATCTATATTATCAGGAAGGCAACAGTATTATATGAAATGGCTTGTATTGAAAAGCGAAGCATGTGTATTTCTAAAATTGTATATCGCTAGTCGCTTAGTCTAGGTCCAATCAATCCGAAGCCCGCGATTTTACTAGGGCCTAATCAGAAGGCTGGGTTGGACCTTGAACGAGTTGACTGCCTGCGTGCGGGTTAGTGCTGTTTTCGGCGAAGTAATTCTAAAGCAATATTTCAGGGAAAATGTAGCTGCGAGGTGTATTTAGACGGCAACCAAGAAAACTATTATTTAGAATGTATTAAAAGAATATTTAGATTGGATCAAAATTGTTTCCTTCGAGCCGGATTTGAACCAGCGACCTAGGGATCACTTTGGAGTTCCTCTACAGTCCCCCGCTCTGCCAACTGAGCTATCGAAGGGTTCGAAAACTGCCGTGAAAATTATCATATTTATAAGTTCTATCAGTTTCTGTTAGTATAACTAAATTTGCTTCCAGACTTTTACAATTATACAGCTCAGTAGCAACAACAGATCAATTTTTAAAATTTAAATTACTTTTACAATCACTTCTTTTACGCTGCACGATAAAGTAAAGTATGAAAAATAAACTGGCTGTCCTAGTGTTTCTAAATATAATCTTGTTTTCAACCTACAAAGCACATGCAATGTCCATGACGCAAACTGATCTTTTTCGAGAACAAATGCAGATGATTTTCGAGTATCGGTTTCCTGTTGATAAGAGTTGTTGAGTCAAGAGGGTAATGGCCGCGGTATTTTGATGTTTGTAAATATATTTTTCCAAATATTTTTAAAATCAGACGTATATATCTTCTAGTCGGTATTCTTTGATAAACCGCCCTGGTGCGGAATGTTTTATTTTTGTTGTCGCTGCCTTGCACTGAAATCAACGCGGCGCAGGTTGTGGCGGGGTCAAAATCTCAACACAGAATTCCACTCGGAATATATTCGGATATATAATTGTTCTTGAATACTTAACTCTCAAGGAGTGTGGTTGTCGAAGTGGATATTTTGTCATACACACAGCTGTGCATATTTTCATCGACCCTTATTTCGGAGTCTCATTTAACTCGCCCATTAGGAGTTAATTACCTTGATACTCCTTTCATCTCAGTGAATAGTTTGCGGTCGAAAATGCAGATGATGATGTAGATGATTATGATGATGATGCAGGTTTTTCCAGAATGCGTGACTGGAAAATATGACGGGAAAACACGAAACGACGTGAAATTTAAACACAACAAAGGAAATAACCTCGTTTTTTATCCTATCAAAATGCACTGATAAAATTAAAAAGATTCATTCACTTTTATTGACAAATTCCTTCCGCTTGCATTCTGGTAAAGCGTATATACATTTATCGCCTTCTCCTTATTCTATCGTCGAAAAAAAACTAATGTCGAGTATACTGTCACTGAAAAAGAATTCGTACATAGACGGTAGACCGTGGTGATTTGTGCGTGATTATAACTTAAGAACAATGCGCGTCATTCGGTCACATCTTAGCCAAAGTATTAAAAATTGTTTTGACTTCTTCTAGCAATTTGTTTTTTTAAGCAAATTTTAGGAAAATACAAACACATTTGAGGAGGCTTCCGAGTAACCCGGCAGTCAAAATATCGAAAAATATTTTGAAATGTTTTGAATATTTCCCCACATTTTGGCCGCAGAAATGACAGTGCATGGGTAAGTGATCGTTTAGTTTGTGGCTTGTTGTTGTTACGTTAGGAACTCTGTACTGTATTTACTGCTTTTTCTATCTAAGATCAGCGATCTCATAATGTCAAGGAAAGGACGCTGTCTTTGGTCCCTGATTGTCCTTGCAATTCTCTGTTTCCTGGCAGTACTGACTAATGCTCAAAGGAAAGAGCGAGGTGTGTTTTATTGTTATAGATTTTTCATATCAATATCTCTTTTGTGACTTTGAATATAAACTTAACTTCAAGAACTCACCAGTGAAATACCTAGCTTGAAGTAGCCAGTTATTATTTTAGTATGCATGTACAGTTGAAACATTTTAGCCAAGAAACCAAAGCTGTGCAAAACTAATTTATATATATAAAGTCTGAAAATTTACATGCTAAAACGTTCTCAATTCTCAATATGCAGGCAACCTAATCAATTTGTATACGTAGAAAATAATAGGACGCTAATGTGAGAGAAATTGCCACCCTCATAAACCTAGACAAGGCGTAATACTTGGTCCTAAAGTTTGAATACGACATGGGTATCATTCAAAATTCATTGAATCACCGCATGCATGAATAGAAAAGAACAGTTTGTTAAAAAAAGAGGTAAATAGGGCTATAGTCCATAAAGAGGTGTGCCCGACTTCCAAGGAATCCGCTAAACACTTTCTCCGTTGGGCGCGAACCAGTGTGCTCTCTTGATTTTGATTTATATTATATTTATATGACCTGCCTATAGCCTGATACTATAAGTGGTATAGAGATAGATTTATAAGCAACGCTATCGATCGAATGCTATGCTTCGGTGTAATATATCCATGGACGAATAAACAGGGCGTGCAAAAGCCAACATGAACAAACTCGTCGAACTCACCAGATTAATCGAGCTCAGCCATCTAAAAAAAAGACTTGATTGTTTATTTTTAACCTAATGGCAGTTGAATATTTTCACCAAAATATTTTGCTCGCATTAGGTAAGCTAAGACAAAAACAACGGATGTCATGTCGTGTGTTAGAAATTAGAAAAACAGAAATTTACAAAAACAAATCGTGCAATTTTTGAATCTCGAAACTCCAGTTGGTTAAACTAACTCATCTTCCACGAGACGCAAGTGACGAGTGTATATAAGTGGGCGTTATTGTACCAGCTTACTAACGGAGAACCTCAAGCCTTTTTTAATAAGAATCGTATTTTCAATTAAACGCGCGTATTTCCAGGAGATTAGCAGTATAGCGGTACATGCAGGCATGGAAATGAGGCATAGACCAAATTCGTGGCAAACTAGTGTTAAAGGTATCGGTTTTGTCCACCCCTATAATATATAGTACAAAAAATTACATGGCTTTTTTTTTCGTTGTGTTCACGCAAAACAGGTAACTCTTTCAGTTTTATGCACACGTGAGTTCGACGCTCGCCACTGTACTGAGGCATTCAGATTATCGGATAGTTCTGATATATACGAAGTTCTCTTACATGTTTGAAAGTTTTATGAGAAATTACTTCTCTGTTACAGGCACCAAGTGTACAATAGACATCCTTGTACTTCTTGACACTTCATTTTCAATTGGTCCGGATAACTTTAGGAAAAAAGTTAAACCGTTTCTGAAAAAATTCGGGAGTATACCAGAGTTAAACGTTTCACCAGATGGGACTCACATTGCGATCTATGCATTCAGTTCAAAGAAGATGACCAAGCTACTTCTCCCTTTTGAGAAAGGCTACGGTCCGCAATACAATAAAACCGTTGATAGGATTAACTGGGAAAGAGTCAGAGGTCCTCATACAAGAACTGATTATGGATTTCAACAAGTCGGACGTAAGGTTTGTATACTCTCGGTTTTGGATAGCCGCTGATCGATACACCGTCCATAAAAATTGGTTATTAAAAAATGCAAAAGTTGATGGAAGAGGGTCTAGGGCTCCGGCCAAATATTTTCTGTATTTTTTGAGTCTAGCTATAAATGGCTTGATTTTTTTATTTTGGAGGGACTTTTGCTGATCACGAATCCATCTCGATGGAGAAAGGTTTTTTGAGAGTGTATACCATTGCTGTTTTTCAATATGGTCGTTGTGCTAATATTTACATTTAAAGGAACCTTTACTTTGGGGTACTTTACTAGCCATCGGTAGGGGCCGAAGGAGGGGTTGGGAGGGGCCCCATGTCAAAAAGGTCCTGACTGGATGAACTAATTAACGACATATGTGTCAATGGCAAATACAGATCTTCCACGTTTATATTAGAGTTACAGACAACTGATTCAAACTCTTGGCCCCTGCAAAGAAAGAAATTCAAAGGCTAACCGGTTGATAACAGAATTACCTCGCATTTTGAAGATTTTGCCTCATTCAATATTCATGCATATATAACGCATAGCTATAGAAGATCACTGGAGCGATATATGTCAGATATCTTTGAAAATGTCATCTTGGAAAAGTTTATTACAAAACTGAAAGAAAAGCCTCGAAATGAAACATTCCAACCTGAACCCCAACTTTCATTTTTCCTTAGATTTTTTCGCAACGAAGTCCATTGAACTACCGACCACAATATGATGACGTAATCCTGTTGCTGACGGATGGGGAACCTCACGGTATTACCGACGTGAGAAGAAAAGCCATCGAACAAGCGAGGATTATAAAGGACAGAGGAATAATTGTAGTTGGCTTGGGGGTTGGGAATGTCAATATGGATACACTTGAAAAACTGTCTACCCCTGGTGACGCGGTGATGGCCTCTTTCGAAAGCATTCATACGGAAATAGAACGACTTGTTGCCAGTTCCTGTCAAGTATTCCAGCCAGCGGAAAGTAAGATGCATAGGAATGACTAGTAGGATTAATAGGATTTAATAAGTTATTGTCATCTACTTTCGTAGCTTAGGCCTTGCTTAAGTTTATTTGCAATAGATTTGGCTCATGAAAAGTTCAACGTCTAAAATGGCCCTTATATAATAGTCAGAGCAACGCAGCAGCATCGAAAAAGAAAACAACAAACTCCTGTTGAAATTCTGACGCTGATTGTTTGAGACTGATTATGGAATTGATTCAAAATATTACTTGCTGTCTTATTTCTAAAAACTCAAAGCTTTGAGTGAACTTGGCAATAAAGGCCTACAATATGGGCTGGTCTCATCAGGGTCTTTCAAAGGCATTGATTAGACTCAACAACATTCCCTTTTTCTATAGATTGCAAATGTCCAGCACGTGACCTTGGCGATTTACGCGTTAATCCAGACAGATTAACACGAGATGTATTCTGGGAAATACCAGAGCCCGAGTGCCCAGAAGGTTTGAAAACTGAACTAAAGAACACCCTATACAAACCAGATGTCTCATCTGGAAACGAGTTTTCTATTGGTCGACAGGAAATCGTGTATTTATATAGTGTGAAAAGCGTGACTGACGGGAGAAGTTTTTCTGACGTCCAGTGCGACATTGTTTTTGAAGTTAAAGGTTTGTTTTACGAAAATGCTTCAAAATTATTCGAACACACATTCGAACACTGCATGTTTATATACTAATCCAATACGCACACCTGCGGTTTAAAGTTCAATCGTTCCTCCAGGTTCTCAAAAATCCAGAGCCTGTATATAGTTCCTGATAGAGCCTGACATTCTGCGAGGTTTTGCCGCCAAAAAAAACATACGAATATATATTAGTTATATATGAAAACCAGTCAACGTCAGCTGGGCTTATGTTGTTGCGCAGGGAAGCTATTTGAGGTAAAGCCTGCTCTACGTACGCTAGATCGAGCAATTGTTAGAGTTAACGAATTAATGACCCCTCATGATAGTGCATAGTAATCTTGGCTGTATTAGGGTATATATGATTGCCTAAGGACGCAAGTTGTTAGCACAGCCGCTAAAAATGATACATACCATTATAGACAATTTTCACTACAGCTAGTTCTGATGGTTATCATACGCTAAAATTTAATGGTTTTATTTCAAATTTGCAACACCGACATAAACCTGGTTTCCAGACGCCGACCATATAGAAACAGTTTTAACTTGGAATATAGACAAATCAAACTTGCATTTTTTGTAACTGCTCGAGTAATTAGGCTCACATGCAGTGTTGGCTAACCATAACTGAATTTCCTTTTTGTCAAATCAATTTTCTTCAAATGTTTTTGAAGGGCAAAACTTTTGTGGTGGCAAGGCTTATTTGACAACGCTGGAAGAATGTTGTTGTGGCAAGATATACAAAAAAAACCCCAATTTTCAATGCTGTGGCACTATTTATTTCTCAAAGTCCACACAAAGATGTTGTCCGGGGTATACACTGCGAAAATTAGGCGAATCCTGCTTTGGACCTCGTAAGTACAGTCGCCACTGCTTACTAACTTGAAAACAAACTCGTGGAATCAAACGTGAAACGTGTACAATTGCTGGCCTAATTTGCAGTTGCATGCATGTCGTTTCCCATTACAGTCATTACACCCTGCGCAACATACATACACTCAAGGCGCTGTTACACTATGCAATTTTCCTTGCAACTTGCAATGCAATTCTACTCCTGAGACATCTAAAGTTGTCAAAAACGAAAACGATTTCTTACGATCTTCTAACGTTTTCTTCGCATTTCGAACACTCTTCATTAATTAACATCCTTCAAAATGATAATCGTAGATCTGCGTACCGAACTTTCGGTCTATGCACTATAAACTTTTGCATGCGTGTCCATACAAACTCTTTTTAGGTTAAAATATTCCTTTCAACACGACGTGTTTTCATTTCTTTAGCATGCAAATGTCCAGAGGTGAATATCGGTACAAAGTACATCAAACAGGGTGATCGTAATACAAATGTCGTCTGGGCAATGCCACGTCCCACATGCGGCGGAAGATTAAAAACTTCACCAAACGAACGATCTGGCCAGAGTTTCGCACCTGGTGTGTATAGAATAACGTACGTGTACTCAACCCCCAGCCGAATTGATGTCACGTGTACAATACGTTTTGAAGTTAAAGGTTTGTCAGTTTTATCTCTCGTTATAGCTGATGTTAAATTTCTCATAATTTGAGAGGTACGCTGCAGACTTATTTTGGACATGTCGCAGCTCTCGGAAGCTTTCGTCCAATTGGATAATGCTTTTCTATGCTTTCTAAAGAACGAAGCTATGCTATTGGTTGAAACAGAAATGCATTGTAAAGTTCAGCCAATGAAAATCATTCTTGCGAGGAGCTGCGACACTACCGACACTACCCCATTTTAATCTTTTAATTTAGGAATGGACCATGCACGTATCCTTTTTTATATTATTCAATTTATCAAACTTTTACTAATTTGTGCAATTCAATTCTCTGTAGAATGTGGTTGTCCACTGCCTGTTCCGAAAACCTTTAACGTTGTTCCTGGTGAAACCACCACTACCGTGTCCTGGAATGTGCCCAAACCCACGTGTTCGGAAGCAATACGAGATACCATAGCACCTGAGGTGATCAGGTCGGGACAGCCCTTTTCCATTGGTCAACATGCGTTAATATATACGTACAATATGAACAATCAGTTTGATCTGACATGTGCGGTTATGTTTGAAGTGAGAGGTATGTAGCAGCCATTTATGTTTCTTATTCTACTATTATCTCTGTCATCTAACATAATCACGATAAAATATCGTATCTTGATCGTAATCACATACAATCGATAGCAATACTATCTACATACACATATTACGCCTTGCAGGGCCTTTGTGCCGTGAAAGAGGTTACAATCCTGCAAACCAAATTTGCTGTTGCGGTACAGTTCATAACATAATCCCCCGTTACGAATGCTGCGATCAAGATTATTATTCATTGAACACCCAGCAATGCTGTGCCAACTCGATCGTGCGAGACAAGACCGTATCTTGCCCACGACAATGAAGAAAATGAAAATTTAAACATAAAGTACACCTTTACTATATATTTTCTATTTCATATATAAATCATAGTCCTATATGATACTTTATGTAACTACCGTTTCTCAACTCTACATTTTGTCATGTAATGTCACCTTTTTAGAATATCGATCTTAAAATTTTACGATTGTATGGACAAAATGATTGTTATTGAAGAAAAGCGTACGGACTGAGCGCGTGCATCATCTCCGCACAAGGCCGGATTAACTTTTTGCGGGCGACGCGGTAGCTGCAGCGTTCGTAGACAAAACGTAGCTACATTTACGTTACATGCAGGCTATAGACGTGTAAAGTTGCATGCAGGCTAGACGTGTAGCGTATTATCAGGCAGAGGCCTCTTTTCCCCTTGGCCGGGCTCAAAGCTTAGAAAAATCATGGTTGAAAACACTATATGCATGTATTCCATGCATGATTTCACGAATTGTGTCCTGTATCCGTTTATGAATGCTGAACACCAATGCGCATTTCAAAAATCATGCAATCCGCGATAATTATCGTGGACATTGCGTGTGTAGAGGAAGCCAAGATTTTGTACTCCAGAAATAAACGAATGTGACATCAAAGGGCATAACCGTTCAGCCGATTCGGATATGCCATTGCACAGTTTTTTTTTCGCCCAATCAGTACAAAAAGCTAAGGCAGGGGAACAAGATTTTTTTAATCTTGCACTCCCGCCTTGACATATTCACGCCACTCGCGGCTAAATGGAAACAAGGCAATTCTTCCATGATTCCAAACAGTTAAGTCAGTCGATTTGAAAAGAAATTGATTATGCAGAACATAATCAATGTATCGATATGAACGGAATGTATGAATATACCACAACCACCCCAAATATCGTGCTTCCACGCCACTTCTTGTTTGTGTAGATAAATGTTTATTTCATGTCTACATCATGTCACCCAAACCTTGGGTAGACCTCGATTTCGCCTAGATTTTCGTAGCGTAAACCATGCAAACATTGGCCTGGGCTAAGACTGCTGTTAGCGGAGATGTCAGGGAGATTGAGATACGTAAACTCACTGACGCGATTGAGTAAAAAGGAATACTCGTTTAGGTCCATTAGCCCTGCATGTATGAAAGAATGACAACACGTACGTCACAAATGAATTTATTATAGAAAACGTCTAAGTGGTTTTTCTTGTGGACAGGGTATCCCTTAGGTTTCCTAAACTATTTCCACCCGACATGTTATGCATGGTGTTTTGGTAGCTGTGAAGGTTATATTATCTTACAATCCTATCCACGAGGTACCTAACTATACAATTTAGTGCAAAGTATATAAATTGAAATATAAATGTATTTACGTCCGATGTTGTTTAGTGCATGATATTCTACATTACTAAAGTCCCAAAATCAAAACAGATACAATTAGAAATACAAATCTCAGTGAATTGTTTATCTCTTAAACCATTTCTGGCTTTTCTTTGAATTCGCTTTTGCCATCTTTGACAATTTCTGGTGGATCAATGGACTTCATCAGGTAGCTTCCAGCTCCAGGATCATCTTTCTTACTTTTCCCCTCGATAAGCATGTGCCGATACATTTGATCCACGGCTAAGGGTAGAAAACTGATACGAGAATTGCATCTTCGATGGTGCTAGATTTTATTTCAAAATGCTCACGTATAGCGAGCCTGATTGAAGCTAGGTAGACAAAGAAAAAGATGAGAACAACCCAGCCGACATACGCCAGGCCAGGTTCAACAACTTGTAGGATTTCCAATAACACCCAGCCGTAAAATAGCGATGCCATGACAACCATATAGCGCACGGGGCTTTTCATATAAAGCATTCCTGCTGCATGGCCAGCAGGCCACCAGGGTGCCACGATCCAGATCAGAATATCCAAGACTCGTCGCCAGGATGGTTTGTCAAATACCGAAATGAGACTGGAAGAAAATGTGTTCCTGTGATGGTCGTAGTCCCCAGCCTCCATTTGCATTGTTCGCCAAAGTGACAAGCACATTAGATTGAGTATGACGGCATAGAGCAGGCCAGACGCAATGGCGACGGACTGAAGTGCATCGATTGCTTTCTCTCCGCCAGCTTTTAAGAGCGCCGTGGTACAAGCTCCTTCGGTGAACGCCCAGAAGACGCGCTGAATCACGGGAGGGTCAGGGTTTCCGTTCGCTGAAAGACAATCAATTACGAGTGAACCACTGTCGGAACTTGTTACAAAATACAACACAGCACTGATTAGGGAAACGACTTTTAAGAATCCTCCAAGGTTGTTTCCATACTGTTGGATAACGTCGAAATACATCTGGCTGTCGGTTCGACAGGACAAGCGAAACAACCTGTTGAATGGTTCTGTTGCGTTTGTTCCTCCTAATTCTGAGGTGCAGTTTATGCCAGCGATGGCTGCTTCACGCTCCATTTTCAAACCGGCTCCACCAAAAATTGTAAACCAAAGGAAAAGATACAGAATTGGCGCTGTAAGAGTGGCGTTGATAAAATTCCTCACAGTTCGACCGCGAGATATTTTTGCAATGAACATTCCAACGAAAGGCGACCATGTAATCCACCATCCCCAGTAGAACACAGTCCACTCATTCATCCAATTGGGCGCCTGCTTGTCATCCGGGGCGTTATCTAGTTGCGCAAAGGCATCCGTGTGGAATGCATATTGCACTAAATATTGGAAATAGTACCCTATGCTTTGAACATACAAATTGAGGAAAAACCAGGTGTTGTCATGAAAGAAGACGAACAGCATTAAAAATATGCCAAGTCCGAAGCAGATTTCACTAATCCGACGAATTCCGACTTTGAGACCGGAAACGACCGATATCGTAGCAAGACATGTGATGGCCCAAATGATGATTATTTGATTATTTGTTGTTTCCTCAACGCCACTGTGCATGCGATTCAAACCAGAATTCAATGTCTTAACACCAATCCCGAGGCTTGTCGCAACTCCGAACATAGTTGACACGACAGAAAATACGTCAATGATATCGCCAACAACTCCGAAAATTCTGTCACCAAGTAGAGGGTAAAAACACGATCGAATGGTCATCGGGAGACCTTTTCTATACGCTATGAAAGCCATGAGGAGTCCAACCAAGGTGTAGACAATCCATCCGTGAATTCCCCAATGAAAAAATGTAAGATTCATGGCATCTTGCGCTCTTAGGTTATCCGTGTACCTACAAGTAGATTACAATAATGTTTCATAATACCGTCTATATACTGGCCAACTTTTTAACGGATTTTGGTCAACGATTTTTCCCATCGGTAACACCAGAACCTGTTGTTCGGCATTATGGCGGCAATTGATTACATTAATTTTTCGAATCCGTACTACTCTTTGCAAACGATTACTAAATAAGCTAGGTTGCTCACTCGTGTGTTTTGCGATCCTCGACATTTAAGCCTAGTTCTCATACGCCTGCGACAAACTGACAGTCGGTTATGGTCGGTCATCACTAAAGAATGAAATGCTGGTATTTTTTATAAATTTATTACGTCACCGACTGCCAACAATACATCGCGAAATGTCGGTGAACATGGGAATTGGGCTCAAAGCCTGGTTCTCCTGGTTCGACAGATTTCTCAAAACACAAAACAATTTAAAGAATCGTCTGTGATCACCGCGACAAGAAAAATGGCGGACTGTCAGTGAAATTTGTGCATAAACTTAGCCTCAATAAAAATCGTACGTAACCACTAAACCTTAGTGAGGTCATCGCTGTTTGATAGTTGACACCATGCCGTCATACTTCAGCAGTTTATATGGCTGCTATTCGACATCGCGTCTCCACGGTTCCACTCCATGGAATATTCCAATTTTGCAGAGTAATGAAAAATACATGCAGATGAATTCATGCGAAAATTTTGACATTTTGACGATATTATTCAAGATAGTGCACAACGTGCTTTACTACCATTATATATACAAAATAGAAAGATTTAAAGTGTGAATCGAAGTTATTCGTCAGTGAAAATCGAACGCAGGGGCGAGAGCGGGGTGTAGCGGGGACACTGCGGGGTAGCTGGAGAAAACCGGTCATTAAGGGGGTATCAATCCACGAGCTAACAGTTTATTGAAAAATGTAAATCTTATATTCCAATCCGAACTGTATTGGGTAAGTGATGCTTGGCGGTGAAGATTTGGCCAACGTTTTTATTTATATACCATCTTTATCAGGTAAAAAACACCGCGAGACTAGGCAAACTGATATCATTGTAATGCTGATTTGCTCTGACGGAGTTGTCATGGCTAAGAATAAGTTTGTTATGAATCAAGCTGTTCACAAGCTACCAATAATAACCGCTTGTGTTATTATAACTATATTTTCCATGTGATTGTAATTATATGGTACAAAGAGCCACGTGTCACCATAGCAATCAAGTTAAACATCGTGCGGAGGTACCTACGTGGGGTATATTAGTGCGTTGTAGTAGTCCGTTTATAAACTTGCGTCGGTTCTATTATAGATCACTGAGAACCGAGCTGGTATAACGCTTGCAAATGTTCCAAAAATGTGCCGTAATATGGTTAACCTAACCAATCCAAACTCTGCACAATCAATTCTTGTGATGTTTCAGTTCGAATGAGATGTTTTTAATGTATGTGTGATTTATCAATGTCTAGCTAACACATATTTTCCCAGCAAATTCAGATGTTTTGTCTAGTGTCCGCAGAGAGTGCATGGGGTGGCTGATTGGGGAAGGGGGTGTACAGCAGTGTGAATGAACTTCGGGGTTACTCTTATAGAAAGATCTCTGAATCTGATAATGTTATCGCTTTCATGTATCAACTATAGCGGTTTGATTGACGTGTCATAATTAATTTTAAATTGGGAATGATGATCAGTATATCCTCTGTCCCTTTTGATGAGTGTACGGCAGGAGGGGTTGATGCATTAAGTGCACCCCCTGCATGTGTTCCCTTTCCGGCGTCCATACTTGGCTGTTTTTTTTTAGGTATCTTCAGTCAGTTGACTCAGTTCAGTGTTTTGCAGTACACAAAGTATTCCGTTATAAGTGCCTCATTACCGGGGCATTAATTAAGCCGCAGACACATTTGGCTGACCTATTATTGACAATTTATTGTACAATTGCAGAACATACCATCTTAGTCATTGGTATTTGAATAACTCCAAATAGCGCTTGTCTT